GATTTATATAGCGCCAACAGTTTGCTCAGCGCTTTACAATATAACGGGAGACAATACAGCAACAATACAGTTCAATACAAGAGGGTTAGGAGGGCCCTGATCCTGGGAGCTTACAATCTAAGAGGGAGGACAATAATGGCCTCTTCACACTTACCCATAGAGCTGCATGCCTTTATGTGCATTTTGTGTTTGACATCCTTTGCCCATCATGCAGGGTGAAGGGTAAAAATTCAGAACTGATATCTGCGGTGCAGAGGAGTTAAAAACACACACAAAAATGCCTACGTTTATCTTGTGCATTTACAGTTTTATAATGGTCCTGCTCGATTTTTCAATTTTTAGTAAATGCTGAAAGTTGCAGCATGTCTTATATTTTAAAATTCCAAAGGCTGTGGCGCGTTGACGTGAACTAGTCACTGCTGGAATGTAGACATGTATGAATGGACCCTGAATCTGTTGGATACAAGGGCTTGATAGGAAATGTATGGCCAAAAGCAGTTTTTAATGCATGTTATCCGTAACGCACAGCACACTGTTGGGTGCATTGCAGTGCCATTTATTAAGTGTTTTTGCATGGCAGACCACTTCCTGTTATCTCACATATATATTCTGATTATTATAGCCAAATTTACCACCCTAACTCCTCCCACAGTTTTTACACTACATAGACAGTAATATACCGAAACGTGTGGATTGTTCCCGATTGGTGTGCTATTACTTTGTGGAATGTTTCACCGAATGGTTCATGAAATATCGGCGTTTTTGTGGTGAAATTGGTCCCATAGGAATGAATGGCGGAATATTCAAAACTAGAGTGGGAGCTGACAAAAGCTAGAGTGTGAGCTGAAAAATCAGGACATGATTTCTAAACTGCCATCACTCCCTCATTTTCAAGCCCACCTACACAAATCTTATATCAAAACGTTCAGCTGTCCCTGCTGCCACAAGCCATAGTCCTGATAATTTTCACAATTATGACCATTAGTTTGCAACGATCACGCCGCCCATTGACATTCATTGAAACTCAACTTAGCCACCTCAAATTTGAAGGGCAATTTCTAAACTGCGACTGTGCCTTCATTTTTAATATTTCAGAGACATACTATGCTTCAAAATGTAGGTCTGGATCTTGTGATTCTCACAATATAAAGCTCTTCACTGTAGGATTTATAGTTTTTAAAACTACGACCATTTGAAGATGCCAGTGAAGTGAGCAATTTGGAGCAGTTTGTTTTTAACCGCTCTTCTCTGCCTTATTTGAAATCTAATTTTGAATTCGTGACAGTTTGGCCGGCTTCTGGTTAAAGGTTTGGAAATAAGTTTTCTACAGTAGAGAGTGTTTGAGGTGTTTCAACGCCCACTCCAGTTGTAGACTACTGGTGGAGGCAAGAACACTTCACACAATTTTCCCAGAAATTGTAGCTTTTCTAGTTTAGAATGGCATCTCACCATACATATACAATAGGTGCCGATAGACCTGCAGGACACGGCGTTACAGCATACAAAGTGTAGATCTGGGTATTGGTCCGTTGCTCTGTGTTGGCTGCCTATTCCCAATAAATGAGCTATTGCAGTGCACATTCCATTTCAGATTGTGTGCCGCAACTCGTTTTGATCAAAATGCAGTACATTAACATACATGCAGCAATGCATTGCAACTCCTGGACCCTGTCAGGTTTTTTTTTTTTTTTTTTTTTTTTTTTTTTTTAGGTTGAGGTTATACCCTGTCTGTACTCTGGTGATCATTTTGTTGCAGTGGGCTTTCTTAATGGGGTGATGTGAGCCCCCAGAGTTTGCTTGGGGCTCCTTGAGCTGTGTGCACTGACATATCAATCTGCAATGACAACTAATGTAAGGGGGAAGTTTACCGCTGACATTCAATGTATGGGGGTCACTTCTAAAATCCAACTCAAGGGGCTTTCCCCCACTCACCACCAGCGCAAGGGGCCTTGTTTCCTCTGCCCGCCAGCGCAAAGGGGCCGCGTTTCCTCTGCCCGCCAGCGCAAGGGGCCGCGCTTCCTCTGCCCGCCAGCGCAAGGGGCCGCGCTTCCTCTGCCCGCCAGCGCAAGGGGCCGCGCTTTCCTCTGCCCGCCAGCGCAAGGGGCCGCGCTTCCACTGCCCGCCAGCGCAAGGGGCCGCGCTTCCTCTGTTTTTTTTCAGCAAAGGGGCCGCGCTTCCTCTGCCCGCCAGCGCAAGGGGCCGCGCTTCCTCTGCCCGCCAGCGCAAGGGGCCGGGGCTTCCTCTGCCCCGCCAGCGCAAGGGGCCGCGCTTCTCTGCCCGCCAGGTATAGCTATTTTCCTTATTCTATTAAAAACTTTTATCAGTTTCATAGTCAGGCTAGGTTTACATCTGTGCAAGTGGTTCCGCTGCGGATATGCACAAAAATCCGTGCAGTCGCACCACCTGCACAGAGGAATGCGGACCCGCGGGGGATGCCATTAGTTCTAATGGCACGCCTCCCCACTGGAAAACGCAACCGTACTGGGAACCAAGGTTCCCGTGCGGGCTGTGTTTTCAGAAGTGCCGGGACTTCTTTCCCTGCGTGTCCCGGGGCACAGGAGTCCATTCAAATGAATGGGCTCTCGTGCCTGCGCAAAACACTGCCCCCACGGCCGCATATACGTGAACCGGGGGTCATTCTGTAGAACCGTGAAATGTAAATATTATTTTTACTGAGATCATCAAAATTATTTCAAGGGTTCCTTCAGGATAAATAAAGGTCTTGCTAGAGCCTTTACATCACATCTGCCATGAGAATGAAGAATTTCTATGTTCATTATTGAGTGTCAAACGGTTGAGGTTACTAAATTAGGTCTCCTGTGTTTCCAAGTAGATTAGGTTCTGTGAACTTCGTGGAGAAACAGCTCACGTTATGTTGGTTCCTTTTTAAAGCTGTTCCTCTTTCTGCTTCCTCATCAGCCATTAGCATCTTGCAACCTAAAATCTTCTAGTTGTGTTGGTAGCTTGCGTGCCAAACTGTCAGGCGAATGCAGTAAGCAGTGCAAAGAGCTGCAACTAAAGAAACCAGAGTTAAGTTACGCGTTCAGATCAGCAAAATACTCATGTTCCCGATGACTGCACTCATGTTCCTTTTGCAGTGAGGGGTTTAGGAGGAGCCCGTCTACTGCTGCTACCTTCCACTTACCATCCGGATCAACAGTCCAAACTTTGTGTACAGGTCCGGGTCAGGTCCGAGTTCCCTACATGCCAACATTTGTGGAAGGAAGGAGTGAGGGTCGCTGGGGCTCAGATACAGTTAGGCCTGGTTCACACCAATGCGGTTTTTTAGTGGTTTATGCAAAAAAAAAAATGCACTACAGTCCATCTAATAATTTTCTGTGGGACACATTCACATCTATGCATTTTTGAGCAGCTGCATTTTTTAAAAGGTTCAGGGACTTTTTTAAATGCAAAAAGCAGCGTTTTTGCCACAATGGAGTTCAATGGAGATGCTGCTGAAACACATGTTGTGCGTTTTTGCCATGTTTTGTGTTTCTATTCTGCCTAGCTACAAAAAAATGTCCCCTTTTAATAAAAAAAAAAAAGGGAACCGTTGTAAAAATGTGCGTGTAAAAACACAAAGCGAAATGCAAAAAAAGAATTGCAAAAACAGATCAAAAGCAAACTTCATTGGTGTGAACCAGACCTTAAAGTGGAGCTGCACCCAAAAGGGGAAGTTCTGCTTTAAGGACTGCTCCCCCGCTCCCCATTAAGGATTGGCACCTTTGGGGGGTGGGGGGGGGGGAGCGGGTACCCAAATTTGACAGGTACACGCTCCTACTTCTGGTCCGATCGCCTAGGCCAGCCTTTCCCAACCAGGGTGCCTTGAGGTTTCTTCAGGGGTGCCTTGGTAAAATGTCTAAAAATTTACCAAAACTTGTATACAAGCCAATGGGTGGACGACCCTGCCTTTTAGTTAATCACCTCCAACGTTGGGTGTCCTACATGTGTGGATGTTGCTCTGTTATAAAAACTATTAGAATAGTTTTTCACGTTTTAGAATGGGGCGCTCTTTTAAAATTATGGACTGTCTTGAAGCACTCTATTTTAGATTGGGGTGCCTCAAGACTGTCCATAATTTTAAAGGGTGCCTTGACTAAAAAAAGATTGAGAAACACTGGCCTAGGCGATCGGAAGCGGAAGGTGTCCTCCCTCCCTCCCTGTAGTCTTTTGGGACACGTGACAGGTCCCAGAAGACTACAGGACCATTCATGAAGCTCAGCGGGTACCCGGCTGTCAAGCCGCAAGCTGTCACAGCCGGGTGCCCACACTGAAGATGCCGGCCTCCTTGGAATACAGGACGTCCGGGTGAAACGGGCTGCGGAGGACACACCACGGGACCGAGGGACAGGTAAGTGGCTGTTTTTTTAAAAGTCAGCAGCTACAGTTTTTGTAGCTTCTTACTTTTTTATTTTTTGACAGCGTGAGTGGAACTCCGCTTTAAATGTCTTCAGTGCCCACACTGAAGATGCCGGCCTCCTGGAATACAGGAAGGCCGGTGAAATGGGCTGCGGGGGACACACCACGGGACCGAGGGACAGGTAAGTGGCTGTTTTTTAAAAGTCAGCAGCTACAGTTTTTGTAGCTGGTGACTTTATTTTTTGACGGGTGAGTGGAGCTCCGCTTTAAGTTCTGCTTTCATTTTCCCTCTATTGTATCCAAAACCCTTTTAGTATAAACTTCCAACATAGCCACATGGTGAACTTCAAGGCTAACTAGATCTCTAGGGCTGGTGATCTTATCATGGAAAAAGTTACACAATCACACGGATACTAATACTGTAACATGTGCTAGAACAAATGTATGGAATATATGGAGGAGAAAATTGTAGGTACTGCCATGGGATGCATCAGATTATTGGCATCGAAGAACTGCCATGTCATATCAGCATCTAATGCAAATGATCCACACCACAATGCCACTTGTGACCCTCTGAGCATAATACAGCTTACTATGTACTTTTAACAGATGATTATTTTCTTTTTCTTTTTTTTCTCCAGTTTTCTAGTTCAGTCCTGTTTCGTATCGGGCAGCTGAGTACTGTGGACCTCGGAGATGAAAATCAGGAAGCGGTGAGTCATAGACGTTAAAATGACAAATCCAACACAACAAACACTTTACTCCTGCGCTAGGAAAGGACTCAGTAGACCCAATAGGAATGTTCTGGAATTTTCTGGAATATGCACTGCTTGCTGCCCTCAACAGACCGGGGTGGTCCGAATACACTGAATACAAATGGAAACAGAAAAAGGGCGCACCGACCTAGTGCATTAACGTTTAAAATAATTTATTAAAGAAACAAAAATAGGTATCATACTCACAATGGACATAACACAGGCATGTCAAACTGAACAAGATGTATGATCCAAACAACATCTGAGTCCATACGATGGAACCCTGGATGACCAACTGGCTAACGCGTTTCGAGGACACAACCTCAACCTCTGAGGGCTCCGCAGCAGGGCTCAGTGCCTAAGCAGCCAATCCCTACATATGAGGGCTGTCAAGGGAAAGGGCTTGGGCTTGTATGCCTAAATTATAAAAATGCTGACTTTTAGGAAGTTGATATTTGCATATTTCTCCATTGTCACTTAGGGGAATGGAATGTTCGCTGCAGCTCCTTAAGGTTCCCTAAAATCATTACTATCCTTGACTTGTATTTCAGCTTGACTGCACTGGTTCACCATGAGAGCTGCACATTTTTAACTTTTTTTTTCTGTTTTTCATTGTAGGAAACGGAACTTTCTTCCACGGTTCTCGAAGAAATTCCTCACACTGAAAACCTGCTCTCGCTCAAATATGAGGTATGTGTAAGTCTAATGCAGGCTGAATAATCGGCCGATTTTTGCTCTGTTAGTGGGGCAATGCTGGAAAATTCGTGAAAAACGACCGATTTTCAAAAGCATTGGTTGCGCAGAACGGCGTTTTGATTTTCAGGCGAAAAATCGTTTCGGAATTCGAACTATGTATGGCCTGCATTAGTCACGATTTATTGAGGTTGAACTGAAGTTCCATTTTAACCGCTCCTGCACTGCTCCTGTCTGGCCGTTTATGTACATGGGCCGGACGGGAGCAGTGCAGGCGTGGGTGGCAGTTTATAAACTGCCTCCGCATTCACTGCCTGTGTGCGCTCCCTGTGACCGCACGGCACCTCTGTGTGAGGTCCCGATTCATGTGATCACTGATTGGCCAATCAGTGATCACAGGAACAGTAGTAAACAAGATGTCTCTTCTGACATCATTGCTTACTACTAGTGAAATCTGTGAATGATCAGAGAGATCACATTATTAGTATTATTATACAGTATTTATATCGCGCCAACAGTTTGCTCAGCGCTGTACATTACAATGGGAGACAATACATGAGACAGTACAGTAACAATACAATGAAATACACGAGGGGTTGGAGGGCCCTGCTCCTTGGAGCTTACAATCTAGGAGGGAGGGGAGAGTGGTACAGGAAGAAATAGCTGTGGGGGGGATGGAGTGGTAGAGATCAGCAGTTAGGTGAGGGCGGGGTAGGCTTCTCTGAAGAGGTGGGTTTTCAGGGTGCGCCTAAAGGTGAGGAGGGTAGGTTACAGTCTGATGGATTGGGGTAGTGAGTTCCAGAGGATGGGGGAAGCCCTGTAGATGGGCATGGGAGGAGGAGACCAGGGAACTGGAGAGTAGGTCTTGTGAGGAGCGGAGAATGCGTTTTGGGTGGTAGATGGATGTCAGGTTGGTGATGTAGTTTGGGGAAGTGTCATTAACAGCTTTGTACGTGGTACATGGTTATTCACAACAGTATTGTACCATGTGACAAGCTGTGACCAATCACAGCTCACACAGTATTTCTCAATGGCTGCAAGAATGCAGCCAGAGAGGAGAAATGATTGTTTTTACAGCCTTTATGGGTGTAAAAGCAATCAGTGTAAAAAAAGAAAAAAAAATCTTCATCACCCCCCAGAAGTAGTACAGTGCTACCATAGTGATACTGTACTGCTAGGGTGACGGTATGTTAAAAAAAACTAAAACATAAATAATAATAAAAATTTGAAAAATTATGAATACGTTTAGGCCAAGATTTATGAAGAAAGATTATTTGCAAAATTTTATAAGAAAAACACTTTTTTTTTTTTTCAAAATGTTTGGACTTTTTCATTTATATAGCAAACAAATAATAATCTCAGTGGTGAATAAATACCACCAAAATAAAGTTTTATCTGTCTCAAAAAAATTATAAAAATATGGGTACAGTGTTGCATGACCGCGCAATTGTCATTCAAAGTGTGACAGCGCTGAAAATTGGCCTGGGGGGGAAGGGGGTAAAAGTGTCCGGACTTGAAGTGGTTTATAGCTTTAGAGTTGAACATGTACAGAACATCCCCATTTCTACAATATTCATTGCTATATTGCAATTGTTGAAGCTCACTTGTAAAATATCCCCCCCCCCCCCCCCAATAGTTCCTAAATATCTTATTGGGGTCCATTTATACCACTTTTGTTGGATGAATGTCAGACACATTCATACAGGCTGCTCACATGTTCGCTGTAATTTCTACAATAGTTTTATTCCTATAATCATCTGCTCCATCTAGTAGCTAAAATGCAGAATAGTTTTCTGAAATATCTCAATGAGAAGATATACTGCATTTTTGCCACTAGATGGAGCTGATGATCTTAGGAATTCCTCTATTAGAGAAATTATGGCCAAACAGCCTGCACAAATGTGTGTGACATTTGTCCAAAATATGTTTTATACATAGACCCCATAGTCTCTCAACACCTATTTGTGTTTAGCAGTTTGATCCAACAGCCTCATTGTTTCTCTTTAAAGAATATGTATAGTCAAAGCTTTTTCTTTTAGTTTGGATCGAGCAGGAAAGGATTAATACCAATGGCAGTTTATTTTTTGCTTTCTGTGTCTTCTTTGGTAAATTGCCTTTAATATCCTGTCATAAGAACAGAACATAGGAAGTCTCTCCAATGTGAGGGGAATTCCTTCCTAGACACTTGTCACAGGAGCAAGTGTCCACATTAGATGAATGCCCCCCCCCCCCCCCCCCACCCCCTTGTATTTGTTCTTGTGTTCACTGTAAAATTTTGGTACACACAGACCGAATATCAGCTGGACTTTGCCAGTTCAGCAGAAACCGGCTGACAATTGACCTGTGTGTTACAACAGCCTGTCCGACAGAAGCCGGCTGAATGTCCGGATTCTTTCCTTTTGAGCAGGCATGCTAGGAAAATAGCTGCTGATCAGCATCCTATCAGCACTCTCTACCAGTGCCTGCGAGCGTATTTTGGGGAGTGGTCCCACTGTAGGTCCCCCTGTCTGATCACAGTAGCTCAGCTGGGAGATTGCTGTACTAACATTGCACAGTTTGTACAGCGAGCTTCTTGCGAGCACCTAAGTTGTGTTTTTCGGGGGGGTTTATGTCAGCCCAGTGTGTACCAAGTATTACTGAAAAAGAGATGTTAAATCTCCCCAGTGAGATTACAGACCGTAATGAAAAACTGGATCGGAGGGCTAACCCTTCCCTACTCCAATCTTGGCTATACATGCACTTGAAAGGATAAGTTCACCTTTTGGACAAAGATAATAAATTCACATTTTTTTGCAGGTAAAAAAAAGTGCATATATAAACGTGCTGTGCTATAAACGCACAATCTGTATATTCGTAATGGTGAAGTGATCAATATGAAAAAAATTTTATGTTAGGTCACTTCACCATTACTAATATACAGATTGTGCGTTTATAGTGCTGCACTTTTTTATATATACATGTTTGCGTTGGGATTGTTGCCTATACCTTGAGTGCTAGCAGCTACTATATATTTATTTTCAATTAGCGCTCGCTTGCATATTTTGATTATAAAAAGTGTATTTGATTTTTGTACAAAGGATCCTGTAAAGTATTGTGCCAGTGATCAATAGATCGCTGATTCCATGCAGGTCTCCTACAGACCTGTCAGAATATCTGCTTGCTGTACGGGATGTATGAGCAAGCAGATATTCTGACAGGAAGCTTCAATGAACTACCACGGTACTCCACAGCACCGTGGTAGTTCATTGAAAACTACAAGCCAACAGCTACTAAGGCTGTCAGGACTTGCTGTTCATTCACGGACGTCCGTGAATGAATGACACGGCCATGTTGGCGGAGCCCCACACAGCCGCACGGTTTTCAAATCTGACAGTACAGGGAAACTTCTCCCCATATTATCTGTCAGAGTGGGGTGGCGGGCGCGTCTGCAGCTATGGGACCATGTTACATGTTCTATCCTAAAAACGGGTGGAACATGTAACATGTTCCCAAAGGTGACCTTATCCTTTAAACTAGGTGTTTAAGTGCATGTATAGCCATTGGGAAATAACCCACCTGACTACACCTATAACTGAAATATCACTTTTAAATGAAGCTGATTGCGTTCTCTAGCGAGAATTTTTGCAAGCTGTCAACTTGTTGTCCGTTCTGCTTTATTTGTAGAGTTTGGATTATGACAACAGTGAAAACCAGCTGTTCCTTGAAGAGGAGCGAAGGATAAACCATACGGTAAGTTGTTTCCCTGTTATTTTCTCCTATGAAGTCTTTGTGTTCTAAAATCAAGCCCATCTACACAAACAATTGATTTGTTGGTTTTAGAGAGCAAGCTTGCAATTGTACAAACCATGAAACCTTCCACACAATTCCTTGATTGTAAGCTCTGTCTCAGTTTTGGGCGGTGCTGCAGCTTGCAGTAAAATAGCAGGGAAAGTTTACACAACCTGCTATTATGTGGTTTAATTGTGCTTTTACCCTAATTGGTATGTTTTATTCAGAAATTTGCTACAGAGGAGGCTGAGTGAGGGGTAGCTGTCGCGGAGTGAGGGGTAGCTGTCGCGGAGTGAGGGGTAGCTGTCGCGGAGTGAGGGGTAGCTGTCGCGGAGTGAGGGGTAGCTGTCGCGGAGTGAGGGGTAGCTGTCGCGGAGTGAGGGGCAGGGGCAGCGGTGGCGGAGTGTGGGGCAGCTGTCTAAGCCCTCGTTCAGCTGGACTTCAAAGTAGCGCTGATATAGACACAGGTGCGATTTCAGTGCCATTTACCTTCTAGTCTGAGAGTTAAATCGCACTGAATTGGTGGAAAAGGTATACAGGAATTGTTTTTGAAGTTGCGCCTATTAAGTCAGTGCCATAAAAATACATTAGATGCGACCTCAGATACGATTTGTAAATTGCATGTCGTACCTGAAGTCTCAGCGGAGTGAACCAGGGCCTAAGGGAGGCACCTATCCTTTAACGCAGGAAAAGCATCTCTAAAAGAAATGGTATTTAATTAAGAAGTAATATAAATTATCAGTCATCTGCTATGCTTTTATTAGAGGTAAACCATAGGCTGGATTTAGGGTGTTCACATTTAAGCTGCAAATACGTTCAAGAGGGTGGTTGAACATGCAGGAACATGCAGGAACAACCCAGCCAATCTTTTTCATAGGGAACAGCAACCTGCAATCTTGTTTCAGCTGAACTTACTATGTGAAGTTTAGTAATTCTGGGTGTAATTCCCTCATCCCAGCCTTCAAAAAACACTAAGCTGAATCACCCCTGCAGTTGCTCACATACGTCTTCCAACGTTGGGTGGCCTCCATTGCCTGCATCCTGTCCAGTAATTTAGTACCAGGCTTCCTGCGCACCCTATAGGCCTGAATGACACATTTGCTCTCTGCATCCAAGTCTATGGGAGGTTAGTGTGTAGTGTGGGCAGCCCAGTATTAGATTTTTACCAGCCAGGATGTAGACAATGTGTGATGCCATCCCTATCAAGGTGGTAAATACCTCCCAGGGGGGTGGGGGGAGTTTTTAGCTTAGTTTATATAGAGAGTTGGGAGCTTCAGAGCTGAGTATATATAGGCTAAACCCAACCGCAGATTAACCCCTGACAAAAATATGCAGTCTCACAGAACTGGGCTTTTTTCCATGGGGTCGCATATTTGTGTACCTGTCTTTGTGCTGGGAGCACGCCGCACAGCACACTCCCAGCACAAAGACTGGGGTGTCACTGAGAGCCCTGGGTCCCGTTCTGACGATCGGGACCTGGGACTCCCGATTCTGGGTCGCAAAATTGCTGTGATAGCCTCTGATTGGCTATCACTGTGATCAGTCACTGTACAGCCTGGCCCCTTGTTTTTTGTTTTTTTTTTTTCTTTTTCTCTATCTATGAATGGAGGAGAGAGATACATTGTACTCCTGGCATAGAGAGGAAAAAAATGTTTGTTACATATAACATACACATATAACATACACATATAACATACACATATATGATATCACTGTGATTGTCAAGAGCTGGAAAATTTATTTTGGGTTGTTCTTTGGTGGTAGGTTATGGTAGTAACAAGAAACACACAGCTAAATTAAAAAACAAAATTTTTTTTTTTTACTATTTTTGGCCAGTATTCCTTTTGATAATAAAAAATAAAATCAGGAGATATCCATTACCATTTACCACCAAATGAAAGCCCAATTTGTCATGAAAAAAACACGGTATAATTCACCTGGATGTACAAAGTAGTTGTGATATGTACGGTTTTTACTAGCTTTTTTTTTTTTTTTTTTTTTTTTTTTTTTTTTTTTTAAATTTGCCGGTTTTCGACCCGTCTATGGCCTGCATTAGAGGAATTGCAACAATTGTTTAATTAAATTTTTGTTGATGTTGGAATTCTTTTATTTTAAATTTTTCTTAACAGCATTTCATATACAGAATTTTGGGAAATCTGGGAATGTGGTCAGCTGTTCTTAGGCCCAATTCACACTGTATGGAGAGCTGCTGCCGCAGTGCTTTACCGCTGCAACAGCTCTCCGTTGCTACATTGCAAAATGTACACTTCATTCGCTGCAATGTTGGGTGGAGCTCTGCCTGACATTGCAGCGCGATTCGGGCCGGTGGCTGCGATAAAATGTACCATGTCTGCATTTTATCACAACACTCTGCAGTGCAGCGCTAGGCTGTGTTGGCGTGTGAATGAGACACATAGGAAACAATTGTTTCCTGTGTATCCCTGCGGTGACAGAAGTTTTGCCATGTGGTAAAGCATCTGTCACAGCGCATAGTGTGAATTGGCCCTTAAGGAGATCGGTGAGAGTAAATGAGTTAGCCATGTGGAGAATCTAAGCAGACCAACTGGAAACAGAATCAACATGCACTGGATTGAGCAGACGATAATTTAACCCCTTGCCCGCCTCAGGATTTACCCCCCTTCTGGACCAGTCCGTTTTTTGCGTTACGGCGCTGCATTACTTTAACTGACAACGCAACGCTGCACCCAAATTAAATTTACGTCCTTTTTTTTTCCTGCGTATTCAGCTTTCTTTTGGTGGTATTTGATTGCCTGTGCGTTTTTTAAATTTTTTGTGCTATAGAAAAAAAAGGCCAACAAATTTTGAGATTAAAAACAATATTTTTGACTTTTTGCTATTAAACATGTCCAGTAAAAAAAAAAAAACGAATTTTATCATAAATTTACGCCAAATGTATTCTGCTATGTCTTTGCTATCCCAATATGTGAGTTAATCGGTTTACGTGAAAGTTATAGTGTTTACAAATGGCGGTATAGATACTGGAATTTTTTTTTGTTTACTAATAATGGCGCAATCAGCAACTTATAGCCGGACTGCGGCGGGCATTCTGACACTGGAGGTTACTGACATGGTGTCACTGCCATCCCCAGTGACACCAATACAGTGATCAGTGCTAAAAAAAAAAAAAAAGCACTGACACTGTACTAATGGCACTGGGCAGGAAGGGGTTAACATGAGGGGCGATCAAAGAGTTGGGAGTGTTTTACTATGGGGTGGTGTGTGTGCTGTTCACTGTAAGCACACTGCTCTGGATGGCTGTGCTGTGCACAGCCATCCAGAGCAGTGTGTCTGAGCTGACAGGAAGGAGGAGTGTTGGTAAACAAAGCTCCCCATTGGAGATGCTCGGTAATCAGCAGGCGCTGGCGGGGAATCACCGGCCGGGACTGAAGATGACTGTCACTTTTCCAGATCCTTATCCTGTTGTGTTACCTTTTGAGAATTAAGGGCTCGGTCACACCATGGTGCAGAGATGTCAGTTTTTGTACACGCGGTCTGCAAGGGCACAACGAAATCAATTGTTCTCAATGTGCCCTGTTCACTCCACAACACCAATATCACGTGTAGATTTTTTCTGAGCAGGAATCTTCAACATGCATAAAACTCAGTGCAGCACGCAGGAAAACTGATGGAAACTGATATCCCTGCAAGTGAAATCTGCGCGTCATTTTCCATCAGGTTTTCTGCGCTCATGGTGTGAATGAAGCCTTAGCCTCAAAGGTGATCCTGTCCAATGCCATGTAATGTAAGGGTATTTTTTTTTTTTTTTTTTTCTTTATAAAATGTTTTTTTCTGATATGCACTATACAGAGAGCAAAATATCACATAACATCCAGTTCACAATTGGTACAGACAGAATGTATCCAAATGAAACGCTACTTTTTTTTCAGCAATACAACGAGAAAAGTAGTTCAACCACTCCGAATGCTTGTCAATCACCGAAGATGTGTGCAGAAATAAAGGGTTATGGTAAAAACACTGAGCTAATATTCCAGAGCACTGTGTTGTGCAATGCAGACAATGGTCTTGACTTTTTTTTTTTTTTTTTCATTTGTGGCTATTATTTACACTTCTGCCCAATGTGGCGCAGTTTGGTTGTACTTTTAATTTTATTTGTAATTCTCAAGTATAGTAAGCGTGCAAAAATTTACTTTGGATGACTTTGCACGTTCTAACTTGAGAATGGTGCACTTGCACTGAGAGGAATGAACCAGAGCCATATATACTACTTCACAAGTCCGTATGGGTGGTGAGCACATCCGATTGAATCCTATTGGAATACACTGACAGGTGCATTTGATCTGCAGTTGACCTTAAAGCGGAGCTCCACCCAAATGGGGAAGTTCCGCTTTAAGAACTGCTCCCCATTAAGGAATGGCACCTTTTGGGGGCGGGTACCCGAATTTGACAGGTACCCGCTCCCACTTCCGGTCTGATCGCCTAGGTGAATGGAAGCATAAGGTGTCCTCCCTCCCTCCCTTCCTGTAGTCTTTTGGGACACATGACAGGTCTCAGAAGACTACAGGACCATTCATGAAGTGCAGCGCTGCTCGCGCATGCGCAGTGGGTACCCGGCTGTGAAGTCGCAAGCTATCACAGCCGGGTGCCCACACTGAAGATGCCAGCCTCCTGGAATACAGGACAGCCGGTGAAACGGGCTGCAGGGGACACACCACGGGACCAAGGGACAGGTAAGTGGCTGTTTTTTAACAGTCAGCAGCTACAGTTTTTGTAGCTGCTGACTTATTTTTTGACAGGGTGAGTGGAGCTCCGCTTTAATATGGTTTGCATTTGACCTGCATCAAGTGGGCTTTGCAATCCCATAGACTGGGGTGGGCATGCAAAACCCACTGGAAGCAAACAAAATCCCTTTGACAAAGGCCCTAATGGTTACTCTCATGTGTTCTCTTCTCACTCCAGACTTTCCGCAGTGTGGAAGTAAAGAGATGGGGCATCTGCGGATTGATCGGGATACTGACTGGGCTTATCGCTTGCTTTATCGACATCGCGGTGGAGCAGCTGGCCGGGATAAAATTCCAACTCATTAAAAGCAGTATCTTTTATTAAAAAAAAGAAAATCTCTAAATGATGCATTGTTGACTTCCTGAAGGCTCTAATAATCTGTTCTTGAAGAAATGATATTCAGATTTCTAACTCTCTGACTCCTGACATCCTGACACTGTGCTTTGACAACTGAGATGTCCAGGGAAGGTATGAGGGATAAGTAGATGGGCTCAGAAACAAGCTGCGACTTCTTCTCATTGTGTCATATGAGCCCTCTCACTCCTCTCCATTCACAGGCTGCTGTGTTTATGAGGCGAAAAAAAAACGGGCGATCGTTCGTCCGATATTCTCATCGTGTGTACGGGGCTTATGTTATTCCTGATTCAAGTTTAATTGCCAATTTTCATCAGCTACTGTTTTCTGTTTAAAGCTTCCTCTGACAAATGAAAATCAGTAATGACTAAGGCTAGGTTCACATATGTGCAGGTGGTGCTGCTGCGGATCCGCACGAAAATCCGTGCAACTGCACCACCCTCACAGAGAATTGCGGACCCTGCAGGCGGGTGCCATTAGTTCTGATGGCACGCCGTCCACACTGGAGAAACGCAACCGTACTGGGAACTGAGGTTCCTGTGCGGGCTGCGTTTTCCGAAGAAGTGCGGGGACTTCTTTCCCTGCGTGTCCTGGAGCACGGGAGTCCATTCAAATGAATGGGCTCTCGTGCCCATGCAATACGCGGCCCGCACAGCTGCATAGATGTGAACCGGGGGTAAGCACGTGTTCGTGTGAAACATGTCTACTGCTCCTCTGTCCTGTCTTGGAGCTGCCATTTTCTTATCATATTGCATGTAAAGGATTCCAATAGATTTCATCCAGCACATTGCTGTTTGTGCGGCCAACCATTCTGACAGCACCATCTTTGTCCAGACATCACACGGGGGCAATGTCTATTTCCTGAACTGAGATGGCCGCTCAGATGATGATCATGTAAATCACACTGCAGTTCTTGGCTGTGTTCACATATGGCTGACATAGATCAACCCTGCTGTACATGTCGCCTTGTGACTTGCTAAAAAGTTGCAATCATTTTGTTCAATCATTTCTAATCATTGAGGGAGGGGAGACTAAGGAAATGCTTCCTCTTTCCTGCAGCAGACTGACATTTTTGCACAGCAAACTGTATTCTCTGGGAGGATTTTTCAAAACATCCACATGCTTGCTCCTCAGAAATAATCCTCATACACATTTGTACAGGGTGTGGTAACATAACTTCCTTTTTTCAAAACGCAATAAAACCCATTTTATGAATCAGAATTGTTTTTATTGTCTTTAATAATGTAGGTACATATCTAAAGTTCTGTTTTACACAGTTTTGAAAATCATATCAGGTAGGTGACGCCCCCCATTGTCCATACACTGAATAAGCAGATTTCTGGCATTTTTTTATGACCCTTACCAGCATACCAGCGGGTATGTTGGCAATTTCTGCGCAGATGTTGGCCTTCAGGTCTTGTAGGGTCCTTGGACATAAACGCGGGATTTCAAAAAACCCCACAAAAAAAAGTCGCAAGGGGCCAAATCAGGGGAGCGGGCTGGCCACTCCAAATCGCCCCTTATTGAGATGAGGCGCTCCGGGAAGTGTTCCCTTGAAACAGCCATAAGTGTTTCCCTTAAAGTTTAAGTTTAAAGTTTAAAATTTAAAGTTTGAAATTTAAGTGTTCCCTTAAAACCCCCAACGGGGCTACATTGAAGCGATGTCGAAAGGCGCGTTGGGTTGCGCTCACAGAAAATCTGTTCGAAAAGTAGGCCCCTACGGCAAACGCAGGCTGCTCACTGTTCCAACGCATGATGATGACTGACCTGGAAGAGAACAAAAACCTTAGAACTACGCCTGTCGCCTGAGACCACTCCCGCCCCGCTATGGTCGCTACAGCCTGAATGGCACGCATTTCAAAAAAGGAAGTTATGTTGCTGCACCCTGTATAATGGAAATCATGCAGCTGTTATTGTTTGGTTATTTTAAAGTGGAACTACACTATATCTGAGCACCACAAACCAAAAGCGCCATTCATTTATTGTTAATATTCAAAGCAAACACATCCATCCATGTCTCCGTACTCTATTTTGTTGATAAATTTCTTCAAAATACACCCCCCAGCATTTCTGGCCAGGCCCATCTTGAGTAAGGGCAGATGATTAATGTAGCATTTACTTCCTGGAATCCTTCTTTCCTTAGCTCAGGCAGGAAGGTGTGCTTAGCGGCGAAAACCCCTCCTACCTTCCTGAAGACTCCTGGGATGTATGACGACATTTGCCTAGACATGGAAACCAGGAAGCAACTAAAAAAATGTAAAAAAAAAAAAAAAAATGTTTTAAACCAGTAAATATAATATACTTTCCTATTTATTTACTAATGCTAGCAGCATAAGAATTAAGAATGGTCCATGTTGATTGAGAAAGTGAAGTTCTGCTTTAATGTCCTTATCTAGAACTCTGTTAGATATCGATAACTTTACAAAACAAGGAGGACTGTCTTACTCCTTGCTGCTGTGGGCAAGTTTAAACGCTGTCATTGTCATGGTCGGGTCACTAATTGTCGCCTTCGTGGAGGTAAGGTCTCTGAAGCTGGCTTTTATTTTTTTTTTTTGGCTTGTTGCCATAATTTCTGGTTATAAGTTTAAAACTTCCTATGTATTTGTTCTACTTCCCAGCCAGTGGCAGCCGGAAGCGGCATTCCTCAGATTAAGTGTTTCCTAAACGGTGTGAAAATTCCACATGTTGTACGACTTAAGGTAAGGAGAAAGAAAGTGTGTGTATATATTGTATTCTCTTGTGATCCTTTGGGCCTAGGTTATTGTGCAACCCTAGGGGCCAGTAAAAATCCACCCATGCAGCAAAAACATCCCAATATAATACACAAAAAATCCTCATAAAAAAATCACCCATGCATCAAAAAACATCCCAGTGTAATAAACAAATGTCCTCTTTCCCATAAATCAGCTTCAATCAAATGGATTAATTCTAGGTTTCCAAGTCCCTTATAGCAACACTGCTGCTCTATTATGCGCTCACCTCAATTCATAGCCTATCAGGCTAATAAACGCAGTTTATCCCACATGAGGATGAAGATCCTTTGGATGACCACCACCTTCTTTGGATCTCTCCACACTTCAGTGTTTCTGATTAACCACCTGGACGCTTAATCCTCTTCCATGGACATACGGATAAATGGATATAGTATGCTCTTCCACCCCTCCTGGGGAATGAACCTCCTGAAGATTACTCCAGCAATATTGTAACAGATAAAAACAAGCCCATCAGTAAAAATAGCCATCAGTGTGTATCACACTCTCTCTCAGTACTCGCCGTATCACAGCAAAGCCGATCGAACGTGGGTGACGTCAGAGCCCCTCCCCTACGCGTTACGCCTCTGGTCACGTGGCTTCATCAGGGGGAATTGATTGATATAGGTGAGCACATAATAGAGCAGCAGTGTTGCTATAAGGAACTTGGAAACCTGGAATTAATCCATTTGATTGAAGCTGATTTATGGGAAAGAGGACTTTTGTTTATTACACTGGGATGTTTTTTTGATGCATGGGTGATTTTTTTTATGAGGATTTTTTGTGTATTATATTGGGATGTTTTTGCTGCATGGGTGGATTTTTAGTGGAACACAATTAGGAGGGTTATTGCATGTTTCTGAAAATTGATATATATGCACATGCTGTTTTTGTTTTTAGGGAGCGCAGCACAATAATTTATTTATTTACTATTATATACACTATTATATGAGTTGGGTGTGAAGTGTTTGCGAACCACATATTATTTTTATTTTTGGTTTACTTTAGGTTTTTATTCATTTTTTAAAAAAATAGTATTTTGTTACACATTCTGAAGGTGAAAGTCACTATATTGGCTCACGGTTTTTTTTAAAAAAAACCCTAGGGGCCCCTGTTTTATCCTACCATAGGTGTTGTTATTATTTCAGGTACTTATATAGTGCCGTCAATTTACGCAGCACTTTACATATAGTACATTCACATCAGTCCCTAACCCTCAAGGGGCGTACAATCTAAGGTCCCTAACTCACATTCATACATACACATACTAGGGACAGTTTAGACAGGATCCAATTAACCTACCAGCATGTCTTTGGAGTGTGGGAGGAAACCGGAGTACCCAGACGAAACCCACACAGGCAGGGAGAACATGCAAACTCCAGGCAGGTGGTGCCGTAGTTGGGATTCGGACCAACGACCCTAGTACTGCCAGGCGCAAGTGCCAACCATTTAGCCACTGTGCTGCCTTAGGCCTATGAAGTAGCTAGAAGGGCTTGTTCTGTTTCTTCCATGCTATCTTATTTTCAGTGCTGCCTATCCCTCTTTCATTTTAATTTTCCCCCTGAACTTTTATAATGGACTTTGTTGAGAGAAATGGCAAATGTAGCACAATAGTTTTCTAAGGGACCTGTACGAAGCACAAAAGTTGGAAGCATTGATTTCTGAAAGGAGTCTAATAGACATGATCTGTTGCAGTCTTACAGTGGCGCTTATTTACTAAAGCTGGAGAGTGCAAAACCAGGCTCATGTCTGCATAGAAACCAATCCGTTCCTAACCTCCACTTGTTCAATTAGGCTTTGGCAATGGAAGCTGGCTGGTCTCTATGCAGTAGTGAGGCTGATTTTGCGCACTCCAGCTTTAGTAAATAATCCCTATGTGTATCCAGTCTATGACTCCCCGATCTCCATAAACTCCTATAGCACATTTGCAGTCTCTGACAATCACTTGTAACATGCCTGCAGTTTCTGGTGATCTCCTGCTGCGTTTTTTGACAGCTTCCTGTAGCAATACACTTATTTCATTTTATGTGAGGCTCCTTGGTGACGTCGGTGACCCTTTCTGTCAAAAAAGTTGACTACTAATGGTTTAAAGTGATTCTAAAGGCTTAATTTAAAAAATTAAATGAAGAAACATGTTTGTACTTGCCTTCTGTGTGTAGTGGTTTTGCACAGAGCAGCGCAGATTCTCCTCTTCTTGGGACCCCGCTGGTACTGCTCAACCCTCCCTCCTGTCGGGTTCCCTCATAGCAAGCAGCTTGGTATGGGGGCACCCGAGCATGCGCACTCAGCCGCTGCTCCACGTGCCCATTCACACATGAAGCCGCCATTCAGCCCCACTCCCTCTGTCTCCTCATTAGCTCACTGGCTGTGAATGACAGCAGCGAGAGCCAGTGGCTCCCACTGCTGTCTCAGCCGATGAGGATAGGGAGTCCCGGGATAGACGAGACTCCAGGATGGAGTGGGGGCTTCGGTGAGTGTTAGGGGGGAAAGCTGCACAGAGAAGGTTTTTTACCTTCATGCATAGAATGTAAACAAACACTGAGCCTTTACAACCACTAAGTTAGCTCGCTGCAGAATAATGGTGCAACATTGAACCAAACTTTTTAAAAATCTTTTTTCCCTTCTATCGCTTCTGTTTTATGTATTCATCTGTAAAACATCTTGGTGTTTTGGCAGACCTTGGTGGTGAAGGTGTCTGGAGTCATATTGTCTGTAGTTGGAGGATTGGCTGTGGGTAAGGTAAGTTTTTATAAAAAAAAAAACAAAAAACAGACAACCTTTTAAAGACTGGGTTTGATCTGCTTTGCATTGGGTTTTTTCTGGACACAGCAGGTCCTATTAGAGAGATGTGCTGCAATCAACTAAAAAAACCTTTGTTCAACCACTAGAATGGTGTAAACCATCCATAAAACTGGCCAAAATGAATGTACAAAAGCCTTTAGATTTGCCAACACTGTTATGTAAGGACAGTGTGTCTGCGGGCAGGCTTTTTCATGGCATAATTGTTCATAGATCAAAAAGAGATTGTACAATCAGATGTTAATGTGTATGGCCAGTTAAAATTAAATCTGTACTATGCCTATGTAGGACAAAGCAGCAGGTTCACTTTAACCCTAGGTTCACATCTGTGCTGGTGGTGCCGCTGCGGATCCACATGAAAATCCGTGCAGCCGCACCACCCGCACAGAGAATTGCGGACCCGCGGGCGGGTGCCATTAGTTCTAACGGCATGCCGCCTGCACTGGGAAACGCAACCGTACTGGGAACCGAGGTTCCCGTGCGGGCTGCGTTTTCCAAAGAAGTGAAGGGACTTCTTCCCTGCGTGTCACAGGCTCGGGAGTCCATTCAAATTAATGGGCTCTCGTACCTGCACAAAACGCAGCCTGCACGGCCGCATAGATGTGAACCAGGAGTAAGAAAGTGTTCGTGTGAAACACGTCTACTGCTCCTCTGTCCTGTCTTGGAGCTGTCATGTTTTTTATCATATTGCATGTAAAGGATTCCATCCACCACATTGCTGTTTGTGCGGCCAACCATTCTGACAGGCACCATCTTTGTCCAAACGTCTTTGCAAAACGCAGCCCGCACGGCCGCATAGATGTGAACCGGGGTTAATGGTGAAGCTACAAGCAGCATATACTCCAAGCTCTTTTGCTACCCCGCTTATAGATTGACCACTGGGGCCAAATAGATCATACTTCAGGGTATGGGGCAATATGTGACGAATGACCCTTGCTCTGACGTGACCGCACTGATGATTGGCTGCTCAGACTCCCCGTGCTGTCACATGGGGTCAGGAGAGAAAGTGCTCAGACCTGTGTAAGCTCATGATCTCGTGCATATGTGCAGCTGTCGAGTATGGTATTTTAGTGAACCTGTTGCTTTGTCTTGCATGGGCACTCTACCTGTTCAAGCAGTCCAGCATCCTGGTATTTACATTTTGCATGGTCTGAATAAAAGCGAAGAGCACTGTGCTGACTTGTGTTCCTTCCTTATTTAGGAAGGGCCGATGATTCATTCCGGGGCAGTGGTGGCAGCTGGTATTTCTCAAGGCAGGTCAACGTCGCTCAAGAAAGACTTTAAGGTAAGCTCTATCTTACAGGAATCAGATCTCGTTCTGTGGCTTTTGATAGCCGTTACGCCACAGGCTCAGAGAATAGCCTGATGTATGAAATTAGAACTTCCTGTGTTGCCCACAGCTACCAGTCGGCTTTTAGCTTTCATTTTTCAGCAGTCCACCCTTTGAAAAAAGTGTTGTGAATCTGGTTGATGTGTTTAACTCAGACAGGTTTTATAATTCATAGAAGACATTTAAAGGTGAGTTCCACTCAAGCTGTCAAAAAATAAAAGTCAGAAGCAACAAAAACTGTAGCTGCTGGCTTTTAAAAAAAACAGCCCCTCACCTGTCCCTCGGTCCCGTGGTGTGTCCCCCGCAGCCCGTTTCACCGGCTGTCCTGTATTCCAGGAGGCCGGCATCTTCAGTGTGGGCACTCGGCTGTGATAGCTTGCAGCTTCACAGCTGGGTGCCCATTGCGCATGCACAAGTAGCGCTGCGCTTCACGAATGGTCCTTTAGTCTTCTGGGACCTGTCACGTGTCCCAAAAGACTACAGGGAGGGAGGGAGGACACCTTCCGTTTCGGATAGCCTAGGCCAGTGGTGGGCAACCTTTTTTTTTTCAACTGAGCCAAATCTCGCCAAAACCACGATTGAAATTTATTTTGAGAGCCACATTTTTAAAACTGAAAATACATCCCCCATATAGTAATTCATCCCCCATATAGTAATTCATCCCCCATATAGTAATTCATCCCCCATATAGTAATTCATCCCCCATATAGTAATTCATCCCCATAGTAAATTATCCCCCATATAGTATTCATAGTAATTCATCCCCCCATATTCATCCCCCATATAGTAATTCATCCCCCCTATAGTAATTCATCCCCCTATAGTAATTCATCCCCCCTATAGTAATTCATCCCCCTTATAGTAATTCATCCCCCTTATAGTAATTCATCCCCCCTATAGTAATTCATCCCCCCTATAGTAATTCATCCCCCATATAGTAATTCATCCCCCCTATAGTAATTCATCCCCCTTATAGTAATTCATCCCCCATATAGTAATTCATCCCCCCTATAGTAATTCATCCCCCATCCATTCCCCTATAGTAATTCATTCCCCATATTGTGTCAATTCACTTACCTTTGCTCCGCACGTTCCTCTCGCCGTGTTCCCGCGCCGTTCCGGTCTTCAGGGTGGACTGTGAGAGGAGAAGAGTTTGTCGCGCTGCCCCACCTACATCCTGACAGCCAATGTTTGCCACGCTCCGCGGGCCGGATTAAAAGGTCCGCCGGGCTAGCTGCAGAGTCCTGACTTTTGGGGCGGCCGCCTGAGAGGAGGGAGGGGAGCGGGCGCCCGGCACACAGAAGAGCCGCATTAAAGTTTGTAAAGAGCCGCATGTGGCTCGCAAGCCGCGGCTTGCCGACCACTGGCCTAGGCGATCGGATTGGAAGTGGCAGCGGGTACTTGTCAAATTCGGGTACCTGCTCCCCCCCTGCCCCCCAAAGGTGCCAATCCTTAATGGGGAGCAGGGGAGCTGTCCTTAAAGCGGAACTTCCCCTTTTGGGTGGAGCTCCGCTTTAATTATTATTATACAGGATTTCTATAGCGGCAACAGTTTGAGCAACGCTTTACAAAATGAAGGTAGACATTACAGTCACAATACAGTTTGGCACAAGAGGAAACAGAGGGCCCGTCTCATCAGAGCTTACAGTCTAGGAGAAAAAATTGCCAGTTACTGAAAACTAGGATATTTTAAATAAAAATGTGAGAAATGGAAAAAGCAACTTAAAATAATTTATATCAGATATCCATCCAAATGTTTTCAGTTGCATGCTCTACATAATGTTGCTGTAGCAGTAGGACAGAAGTATCCATAAAGCTGAATTCCAGAGATGTATTCTATAGCATAGTTACATTGGTCCACCTTGGAGCAAAGTAACTGTTTATGTGCCATAGCACTAGGATCCCTGTGGAAGCTGGAAATCACTTCTCTAATATAGTGATTGCTGTATTGTGAACACGTGTGGCTGCTTGCTTGGCACGGTGCAATTTACAGAACGCCTTGCATTTTTCTATATGAATGCAAAATGTTCTGTGTCTGGACTAGGTGGAGACCATGATGTCATTGCCCTGCCTCTCCCTCTTTTCCGGCACAGGACCCGGAATACTGTGATGATTACTGTAGTAGTGGAGACTACAGCGATTTCCATCTTCCACAAGGATCCCACCGGTATTTACATATGCATAGTGTGACATGGGGGATGGCTTAGCTCTAGTGGTAGATGCTTTCCAAGTGAGTCCATGCTAGCCAGAAATGCTTTTTCAGGGCTTGGTAGCCCACTTTTATTAAAAGGCAAACAAAATCTCAAAAGTCCAAAATAAGCTTTCCCACACAGGGGTTCTTCTCCAATAGTAAAGACAAAAGAAAAGTTATCAAGCCTCCTGGCTACTCTTTGTTAGCAGTACCTCTGCTGGTATGGGTCTCCTAGACCCCTGGCTAGTCCCGGCACTCAGCATTGAGCTCTTTTGATGCACGCAGCGTCGGGCCCTCGAACGCACGCAGCGTCGGGCCCTCGAACGCACACGCAGCGTCGGGCCCTCGAACGCACACGCAGCGTCGGGCCCTCGAACGCACGCAGCGTCGGGCCCTCGAACGCACGCACGCAGCGTCGGGCCCTCGAACGCACGCAGCGTCGGGCCCTCGAACGCACACGCAGCGTCGGGCCCTCGAACGCACACGCAGCGTCGGGCCCTCGAACGCACACGCAGCGTCGGGCCCTCGAACGCACACGCAGCGTCGGGCCCTCGATCGCACACGCAGCGTCGGGCCGTCGATCGCACGCAGCGTCGGGCCCTCGTCGAACGCACGCACGCAGCGTCGGGCCCTCGATCGCACGCCGTCATGACGCAGCGTCGGGCCGTCGATCGCACACGCAGCGTCGGGCCGTCGATCGCACGCAGCGTCGGGCCGTCGATCGCACGCAGCGTCGGGCCCTCGAACGCGCGCAGCGTCGGGCCCTCGAACGCACGTAGCTTCTGTCTCACACATAGACACTCAAGGTCAGCCACTGCACTCCCCCCTTGCAACACTCAGCAAACCATCATTATATGGGCTGTGAGCACCTGGGTCCACACCCTGCTGGTTGACTTCAAACCCTGGACACTGGATTGGAGATTTCTTCCCTCCCAAGGCACTTTGAAATCTCCAAACTACGGAGCACCATCCAGAAATATCAAAAGCTAGAGAAACCTGCAACAGCAGTTTTCTCCACTCACAATCTACACTCCGTAGTTCTGCACTTTGCACATGTGCAGACCCTGTGTCCATCACCAGACCCCTTCCACTTGCACATGTGCAGGCCCTGTGTCCATCACCAGACCCCCCTTCCACCTGTTTTGATCCTGTGACAGGGCCATGCACTGTTATAATAGTTACTTTGATCCAAGGTGAACCAATGTATTTATCCATACCTGGAATTCCGCTTATGTACTGTATGTGTTATGTATTCAGTATATGTACGTTGTGTTATATCTGTTTAATAAGTGCAGACAAATATATTTTAATTCTGGCAGGAATCTTGTCTGCTGATACCTTTCTGTGCTATCTCCATCTGCAGATTATCAGTTGCATTGTTCCCAGCTATCTCTGAGGGGTACAGAACTCTTCCCTCTGTTTTTGCAGGAGCTTATTGTAGTCCTATCCTAGGGTGACAGCACTGCTCCTTCATTGGTACAATACAGGGAAGAGAGCATTGTCTTCCTAGGACAAGACATGTGTTACTAGTAGGATCACCAGGTGCCTATAAAGGAAAGAAATATTTAAAAAAAAAAAAACAAATGCAGCCATCACTTCTAAAGCACACTGCAACAGATCACATTTTTCTGTCCTTGGGATTAGATACATATGGAGTCTGTTTTCCACTCAGGCCTGGGGCCTTACTTGCAGCTCAATGGACTGCTTGTGAGTGTTTTACTGCATAACCTTTGTGAATGATCATTGTGTGTCTTTGCAGATCTTTGAATACTTTCGCAGGGACACAGAGAAGAGGGACTTTGTGTCAGCAGGGGCGGCTGCTGGGGTGTCGGCAGCTTTTGGAGCACCAGTTGGTATGTGTCTCCTTAACTCTTTGAAAATCCTCCCAGCAATTTGGTGTATATTGGGTCCACTGCTGATAACATAATTTAGCTGATCAAATGCTTAAATAGTAATCATCACCACCTCCACACTGATCTTGCTGCTTTCGTAAAGCGAATCTGTCATTTTTTTCATTCATTGACCGCTTCTCTTGACAGGCCAGTTGCCTACTCATTGACACTTACCTTACCTGTTCTCCTGTACAGCTAGGTTCATCTTACATAGTTACATAGTTAGTCTGGCTGAAAAAAAAAAAACAGAAGTCCATCAGTTACACCTCTCTTCCAACTCTTGAGGGAGTCTATTCCATATTTTCACAGCTCTTACTGTGAAGAAACCTTTCTGTGTTTGGAGATTACATTTATTTTCCTCCAAATGTAAAGCGTGCCCCCTTGCCCTATGTGATGACCTCAGGGTGAATAACTCTACACCGAGTTCACTATATTAAGTTCATAAATCAAAAAGGCAGTAGCTGTTTTGGTTACAAAATCAAGGGAAAAAAAAAAAACCTCCCCCCCCCCCCCCTCCCCATTCCCTGACCTCCTAAATGAATGTATCCTAACCCCTAATGTTAACCCTTAAAGTGGTTGTAAACCTTAGATATGAAATATGAAGCATATCCTCGATTGTGTGTAATTGTCTCAATTAAGAGGACTATCATTTCTGTCTGCTGCTTTGTTCCTTTGCTGTCAGCATGAATCAGTTCTGACAAGTTTTCCTGACACCCAAGAGATGAATGGTGACAGGGGAGGCACCTCCAGCAGATTGACAGCCTCAGCTCTGTTTCTGTAAACTGTTTGGACGGGGGAGGGGGGGTGTCACTTCCCTCCAATCAGCTCTGAGTTCTCACTGAGCTCTTTGTGTAACTTCAGCTCTCCGCCCCCTTTTTTCTGAACTCTGACAAGCTGTATAAATTCAGCACTTTGAGTGGCTATAGAGAAGGCTTCAGATAAGACAGTTACAACTTATGTAGGAGGATTTGTTTCATCTCTGTGTATCAGAGTCCCTTCACTGGGTACATGTAAGGGATCGTTCACACTTGACTGTTTTTACAACTCTTGCCAAACGCCCGTATAGCGTTTGACAAGCGTTGGTCCGGCATTTGCGGAGCGTTTTTAACGCATGCGCGGTTTAGCGGAAGTTGCTAGGCATTTGCCAAGCGTTAAAAAACGCCCCACAAACGCCTATAATGAAGTTTAAATGGTGTTACCGCTCCGCAAACGTGTCGCAAACGCTGGCCGGGGGCGTTTGCAGAGCGGCACCATAGACTTAAATAGGAGGCTTCATCTCCTCCTGACTTGACCAGAGGCGTCCGTTTTGCCGTGACGCAACGCTAACGCTCCCGTTTGAACAGCACTATATGCTGCAATGTGCAGAATTTTCCCAGGAGTTTGGTAAACGGTAAAAACGCTTCCCAAACGCCTGTCTGTCGCTTGCTAACAAGGCTAGTGTGAATGTGACCTAAGGGTTTACAACCACTTTAACCCCCTAATGCCGGTGTCTCCTGGCCCTTTAAAAGGTGTCTGATGCCGGAAGGCGGGGCGGGTTCTCTGATCATGTGGCTGCCGTGATTGGCTGTCACAGCGATCACATCATTGGAAAGCTCCCGATCGCAAGTAGAGGCGAGAGCTTTCCGTTAACCGTAACTGTGCCGGGAGCGCACAGAGTGAGCGCTCTCTGCACAGCTGTGTTTTTCATTCTGGTACAGGGGCGGACTGACAACTCATGGGGCCCCCGGGCAATAGGGGATCATGGGGCCCTTGTGTCCTTGCCCAAACTCAAAAAAGCCCATGAAAAAGGTACCAGGGGCATCTCATGGGGCCCCCAACTGACCTCGGGCAGTGCCCGAGTTTCCAAATGGTCAGTCCGCCCCTGTTCTGGTACACATATATACGGCCTCTTTCTATAATAGGTCCGGCTTTACTGCTTTCTGAATCTCTTCCCTACTAATTGGACAGAAGTGTCGGTGCCAATTCATTGTCCATAGAGCAGCTGGGGTATGAAGAAGCCAACAAAGAAGGTTTATTGTAAAAGTGTTGACTTTCTGATTGTGCAGTGTGGCAGACCTGTGTATTTCACAAGTTTTCTGTGCAGAATATTCATAGATATTGAAACTGTGTGTTTAGCGATTTTGTATTAAAAAAAATATTTTACATGAATAGTAACAATTTTTTAAAACCTTAATTTAATAAATCTGCAAAATTTTAGGAAAAAAAGTAAAGTGATTTTTTTGTTTTTTTTTGTTTAGGGTAAATCGGCTAAATGATATCTGGGTCAAGGACAGCTATTTCCAGCTTCCAGTTTTTATGCTGAAATAGGGCATGCTTTGTGTGTTGCCAGGCTGGAGTACTTAGTCATCTAATACAGCTTTTAAACCAGGAGATTTATTTATTTATATCCATAAGCCCATACTGACATTTTATAGGCCTTATTTTTGTATTTTCCTGGCAGAGGCTTTAATTCTTTTTTAAAGCGGCTATTTGTGGCCTTTTGCAGAGATAAAGTATCTTGGCCTGAACTTGTCTAAAGAGAACCTGTTTACCTAAGTAGTCCACACTGATCATGTTAATTAACCACTTCCCGTCTGGCCCATGTACATAAAGGACCGGATGGGAGCAGTGCAGGAGCGGGTTGCTGTTTATAAATGGCACCCGCATTCACAGCCTGTGTGCACTCCCTGGGAGCACATGGCACCACGATCCGGTGCCCGCTGTGTCCTCTGGATCGCTGTATGGGACCTCTTAGTGAGGTCCCGATTCATGTGATCGCTGATTGGCCAATCGGTGATCACATGAATAGTAGTAAGAGGTCACTTCCTGACATCATTGCTTACTACTCTTGAAATCTGTGAATGATCACAGAGGTCACATGGTACAAGGCTATTCACAACAGCCTTGTACCATGTGACAAGCTGTGACCAATCACAGCTCTCACAGTATTTCTCAATGGCTGCAAGAATGCAGCCAGAGAGGAGAAATGATTGCTTTTACAGCCTTTATGGGTATAAAAGCAATCCGTGTAAAAAATTAAAAAAAAAATCTTCACCCACCCCCCCACAAGTAGTAAAGTGTCACTATGGTGACACTGTACTGCTAGGGTGACAGTATGTAAAAAGAAAAAAAATAAGAAAAAATTTTAGAAAAATTATTTTTGGTTATAAAATAATTTGGGTTATTTTTTTTTTTTTTACCAAAAAGATAACTGAATACATTTTGGCCAAGATTTATGAAGAAAGATTATTTATTTGCAAAATTTTATAAGAAACTTTTTTTCAAATTTTTTTTGGACTTTTTCATTTATATAGCAAAAAAAATAAAAATCCCAGTGGTGAATAAATACCACCAAAATAAAGTTTTATCTGTCTAAAAAAAAATGCTAAAAAATTCATATGGGTACAGTGTTGCATGACCACGCAATTGTCATTCAAAGTGTGATAGCGCTGAAAGCTGAAAATTGGCCTGGAAGGGGGGTGGGGGAAGTGTCTGGACTTAACTGGTTATGCAAGGGCTCCTGGCTTCCTGTTAATACCTGGACTTCAGTGAGGACTGGTATAAGATGGGTTTGTGATGGTGACATCACTGTTATTCTTGAAGTTGTCTACATTTTCTCAGCCTTTTAAAGCTGGGGTCCAGGGAGACTGCTAAATACTCAACAGAAGCACATTAATTAACTGCTTCCCCTGCCTATGAGTTTGTAGTTCTGTTTGGACAATCTTGTGATCTAGGCACCACCTGGTCAAAGAGCACAACCAGGTCCTGGGCCCTATCTGGTGGTGACTACTTTTGCAGTAAAGCCTGGTCTGGGATGTGCCTCAACTTCAATTTAACAATGAAGAAGCAGCAGCACCCTGATGAGGTGATCATGAAGCATGATGACCTCAAGCATGTTCAATTTGTAAACCGGAAGAACTCTGCAAAGCCTGTTGGCTTTCCTTGACCCTCTCCTTGTCTAGGTGCTGTGCAGGGGGCTGCTTATGCTTGTTTTAATTAATAAAAATACTTTTTGTGAATGCATAGTTGTATTAGACGATTATTTTTTTCAAGTCTACTGGGGTTCAGTATTTTGCCCATCCTGTATTACAGTTTGCAGGACAAAACAAGGAAACTTTGTCAGATGTAGTTATTTCTTTGGGAAGTCTGAGGATTCCAAGCACAGGTTCCCCTTGTGACCGCAGCTTCCTCCAACCTCAATGACTGCTGTGGTTGGAAAAAGGTAGTAATTTAGTTAGTACAGTCTGCTCTTGTAGGAAAAAAAACACACTGTAAAGGGGGCAAATAGGGAAAGGCAAGCACAGGGTGAGTGCCTGCCAGGTATCATCTGTAATGTTTCAATTCAGCTAAAAATATGTGATCAACAGCCTCCGCTTTTAGTTTTTTTTCAGGTATTTTCCAAAATGTATTGAAGCTGTAGTTCTATAATGGATATAGGCTGAAAGTGCTCACTCTCAGGTTTAATTTGAGGGTATGTACATCCAAATTGGAGGAAGGGTTTAGGAATTACAGCTTTTAAGAGTAGCCATCCCCCATTTTTCAAGGGACCAAATGTAATTGGGGCAGCACAATGGCTAAATGGTTAGCACTACCGCCTGGCAGTACTCGGGTCGTTGGTTCAAATCCCAACCACGGCACCACCTGCCTGGAGTTTGCATGTTCTCCCTGTGCCTGCGTGGGTTTTCTCCGGGTACTTCGGTTTCCTCCCACACTCTAAAGACATGCTGGTAGGTTAATTGGCTCCTGTCTAAATTGTCCCTAGTATGTGTATGTATGAATGTGAGTTAGGGACCTTAGATTGTACACCCCTTGAGGGTTAGGGGCTGATGTGAATGTACAATATATATGTAAATTGTCCCTAGTATGTGTATGTATGAATGTAAGTTAGGGACCTTAGATTGTACGCCCCTTGAGGGTTGGGGACTGGTGTGAATGTACAATATATATGTAAAGTGCTGCAGAAATTGACGGCGCTATATAAGTATCTGAAATATAAAAATTAAATAATTGGACGAATGAATACGGTCATAAATAATGTTCATTTGTAATATTTTGTTGAGAATCCTTTGCTGGCAATGACTGCCTGAAGTCTGGAAACCATGGACATTACTAAAGACTGGGTTTCCTCGTTTCTGATGCTTTGCCAGGCTCTAACTGCAGCTGTCTTCAGTTGTTCTTTGTTTTGGGTCTTTCTGCCTTTTAGTTTTGCCTTCAGCAAGTGAAATGAATGCTCAATGGGGTTGAGATCAGGTGATTGACTCGGCCATTGCAGAATATTCTACTTCTTCAAAAGCTCCTGGGTTGCTTTTGCAGTGTGTTTTGGATCAATGTCCATCTGTACTGTAAATCCTGTGGAACCAATAGAAAACCAGTGCAGCCATCACATCTAACGATTGTTAAGCTGCAAAATATTCAATTATTTGGTTTGGGGTTTAATATCACTTTAAAGAGGTTCTAAAGGCTGAAAGTTTTTTTACCCTCATGCATTCTATGCATGAAAGTTACAAACCTTAAGCGTGCAGCTCCCCTCTCAGCCCCCCCCCAATACTTACCTTAGATTTCAATCTAGTGCTGTTCACAAGAGTAGTGGGTTTATCCCTCCTCCTTGGCTGAGACACAGCAGGGGGAGCCATTGGTTCCTGCTGCTGTCAATCGCAGCTATTGAGAAGGGGCGGAGCCAAGCTGCGCTTGTGGTCTTTATAGATACAGAGTCAGCTTGGGAGTAAGCACCCACAAGCAGCTTGCTTTGGGGGCACTGAGTGGGGGAAGCAAGGAGTGCCAGCGGGGGACCCGAGCAAGTAAGTATAACATGTTTGTTACAAAAGGGTCATTTTTTTTTTTTTAATCACTTAAAGAACAAGGAGTGCTCATTTACATTTACTGTTCCCAAACTGAAAAGGGGACATTCTCCTCATCTTGTATCTCAAGACTCTGAATTTGTACATAAATACAGTAAGTGGGCCTTGCATTTTTTATTGCAAGGTGTGTTTAACATTGAAGTGGATGTAGTGCACATTACTTTGGATCCTGTGTCACCGGCTTGTGTTCTGTGTGTTTTTTAGGTGGTGTACTTTTTAGCTTGGAAGAAGGAGCCTCATTCTGGAACCAACTGCTGACATGGAGAATAGTAAGTGTCCAGCTTTCTGATGGATGATTTTTTTTTATTTATTTTTAAAATAAAAATCATAACAGTTTGCTTCTATAATCATTGACAAGCCCCACACTGTATGATAAAAGACCCCACATACATAACACTACCTTTTTAAAAACACTCTGCTGAGTGCCCCAGGTGTAGATTCTCTTCTGTCCTTCCTACTCACATCACGTAAAGCAATGTTAGAGTCTCAGCAACCTTTTGGAGCCCAGCCTATAAAGTAGGAATGTCAACGTCCAGTTGGAGGACTCAAGAATTAATGTTTTTGCAAGAAAACACTTAGGGAAAACCTCTTCCAACAACTAGATCAGCCTTGCACATCTGAAGTATATCTGCACAGCACAAAGAGCACCTGCCTGTAGGCTTCCTTTTCAGACCCTTCTTTTGAAAATGCTAGTTGCCTAGATTTTGTTAATTTTTTGACTATAGTATATTCATTGGCTGACCCTGAACAAGTAGAGAGATGAGTACCTCTGACACACATGTGCTATATCTAAAGTGTTAAACCCAAACCGCTAGCACCATTAATGGCACCCTACATATTGCCTTGTAACAGGTTTGCTTTGACCCCTGGTTCACATATATGTGGCCGTGCGGGCCATGTTTTGCACGGGCCTGAGAGCCCATTCATTTTGAATGGACTTCCGTGCCCGTGACACGCAGGGAAAAAGTCCCTGCACTTCTTTGGAAAATGCAGCCCGCACGGGAACCTTGGCTCCCAGTACGGTTGCCTTTTCCAGTGCGGGTGGCGTGCCATTAGAACTAATGTCACCCACCCGCGGGTCTGCATTTCTCTGTGCGGTTGGTACGGCTGCTCGTATTTTCATGCTGATCTGCAGCGGCACCACCCGCACAGATGTGAACCTAGGGTAAGTCATGGTTTGCACACCCGCTGACCATTATTCACGATGTACGTTGCAGCTTTTACATTGTGTACATAGATTCCTTCATCGGTTCTCATTTTATAAGACTATAAAAATGTAGAAGGGACATTTGGATGTTTGTAGATCAGTTTGTGATACTAGTAAAATTTAAGAACTTTAGCCTGCAGCTTTTTGTAGCAGACAGAGCAGACTTTGTTCTGTGCCAGCGCTGGAAATATCAGATGGCGCGGCATCTTGAGCCCAGGGGAGATAAAACTGACTGATCCTGATCACAAGGATTGGCAAAGGTTTGTTCTTGACCTCACCTAACTCGGCCAAAACTCCGAATCGCAAGAACAATGCAAGAATTGCCGGCATAGGTTAAGGAGAGACTCGAAGCAAGCAGCGGGAGTGTATTCTCTGTAAACTTGTGGAAAGGAGTCAATACTTCGTTAAACTTACAAGAAGGAATGATTTGAGGGTGGTCGCTACCAGTGTAATGGTCGCTAGTAGGTCAAAGCGCAGGTAGTGTCATGTAAGCTTTAGGATTAAAGAATAATTCAAGGCATCTGCATGGTATACATAGTTACATTGGTCAAGCTTGCACTAATGTAACCAAAGATATGCCATACCTGGCCGATGCTGCGGAATCTGGAAATCAATGAAGTAGACACCACTATTCCAGTGATTTCCACTTGCTTCTGGGACTAGTGCTGAACGGGTGGCCTGATGTATCTTATCCCCCGGTTCACATCTATGCGGCCGCGCGCGGCTGTGTTTTGCTTGGGCACGAGAGCCCATTCATTTGAATGGATTCCCGTGCCTGTGACACGCAAGGAAAGCAGTCCCTGCACTTCTTTGGAAAATGCAGCCCTCACGGGATCCTTGGTTCCCAGTACGGTTGCGTTTTCCAGTGCGGGTGGCGTGCCATTAGAACTAATGGCACCCACCCGCGGGTCCGCAATTCTCTGTGCGGGTGGTGCGGCTGCACGGATTTTCGTGCTGATCTGCAGCGGCACCACCCGCACAGATGTGAACCTAGGGTTAAACACAGGAGGTCGGCTGCTCAGCACAGGCACCATTCAGCGAATGCTTTGCTTTTTCTGAATGAATGCACAATGTTCTCTGATTGCACGAGGTAGAGGGGTAGGGTGCCTGTACCAAATGTTCACAATGCATTAGGCCAGCTGATCAACATGAGATCTGAAAGCAAGGGGTGATAGCTGTAGAGGCGGCGTCCACTTTAGTGATTTCCAACTTCCATGGGCATTAGCCGAGTATGTCATATCCTGTACATGGTTACATTAGTCCAAGCTAAAATGAATGTAACGCTGTACAGTGGGTAAAATAAGTACTGAACATTTTTCTTGGTAAATATTTCTATAGGTGCTATTGACAGGAAATTTTAACCACATGCCAGTTACAACCCATGCAATCCATACAGGCAAAGAGACCAAAACAAATAAGTGCAGAAATTGAATTATGTGGAATTAAATGGAATGACACAGGGAAATAGTATTAAACACGCAAACTAAAATTTATTTGTAAATTTGTACAAAATACTTTGTTGGTAATGACAGATTCAAGACGCCTCCTGTATGGAGAAAGTAGTTGCATGCATTGCTCAGGTGTGTTTTTGGCCTATTCTTCCACACAGTCTTCAAATCTTGAAGGTTTTTGTGGGCCTTTTCTATGAACTCTGACCTTTATTTATATAGATTTTCTATTGGAATCAAGTCAGGTGATTGGGTGCGCCATTCCAGCAGCTTGATTTTCTTTCTTTGAAACCAATTGAGTTTTACCTTGGCTTTGTCTTTGGGATCATTGTCTTGCTGAAATATCCGCCGTCGTTTCATCTTCATCAACCTGATAGATGGCAGGAGATTATCAGGAATGTCTTGATACATTTTTCCATTTATCCTTCCTTCAATGAAATGAAGTTTGCCAGTACAGTATGCTGAAAAACAGCCCCACGCCATGATGTTCCCACCTCCATACTTCACAGTTGGTACGGTGTTTTTGGGGTGATGTGCAGTGCCATTTGACCTCCAAACATGGTGTGTTTTTATGGCATCCAAAGAGTTCCATTTTGGTCTCATCTGACCAGGCTATATTCCCCCAGTATTTCACAGGCTTGTCTCAATGTTGGGCAGCAAACTTTAAACACGCTTCAATATGCTTTTTTCTTCAGCAATGTAGTCTTGCATGGTGAGGGTGCATACAGGCCATGGCAGTTGAGTGCATTACTTATTGTTTTCTTTGAAATAATTGTGTCTGCTAATTCCAGGTCTTTCTGAAGCTCTCCACAAGTGGTTATTGGCTCTTGGACAACTTTTATGATAATTCTTTTCACTCCTCTGTCAGAAATCTTGCGAGGAGCACCTAGTCGTGGCTGGTTATGGTGAAATTATGTTCTTTCCACTTCCAGATTATGGCCCCAGCAGTGCTCACTGGAACATTCAGAAGTTTAGAAATCCTTCTGTAACCAATGCCATCAGTATGTTTTGCAACAATAAGGTTGCAAAGGTCTTTAGAGAGCTCTTTACTTTTACGCATTATGAGATGTTTCTTGTGTGACACCTTGGTAATGACACCTTTTTATAGGCATCAGTTGAGACTTAACCAGCTGATATTAATTTGCACTGACAAGGGGCAGGATTGCTTTCCAACTACTGATAGATTTCAGCTGGTGTCTTGGCTTTTTGCACCTCCCTTTCTTCATGTGTTCAATACTTTTTCCCTGTGTCATTTAATTTTATTACACGTGACTTAATTTTTGAACTTTATTTGTTTTGGTTTCTTTGTATGTATGGATTACATGGGTTGTTACCGACATGTAGTGAAAATTTCATGTCAATAGCACATTTAGAAATATATGTACTGAGAAAAATGGTGACGTGTTGAATACTACTTTTACCCGCTGTATAGCATGACAATGTATAGTGCCTCAAGAGTTGGTGGATCGCAGATTTGTGTATACCTTTTACAAATATTTTGGAAGTGAAGCAAATCCAGCATGTGCCTGAATGTATACTAAAAGTAGTTCCAGGCAACAAATTAAACTGTTCTCTGAGATACAAATTCTCTGCAGCAAACACTTCACTCAAAGCGGAGTTCCACTCACGCTGTCAAAAAATAAGTCAGCAGCTACAAAAACTGTAGCTGCTGACTTTTAAAAAACAGCCACTTACCTGTCCCTTGGTCCCGCGGTGTGTTTCAAAAACGGCCGTCCTGTGTTCCAGGAGGCCGACATCTTCAGTGTGGGCACCCAGCTGTGACAGCTTGCGGCTTCACAGCCGGGTACCCACTGCGCATGCGTGAGTAGCGCTGCGCTTCATGAATAGTCCTGTATTCTTCTGGGACCTGTCACGTGTCACACAAGACTACAGGGAGGAAGAGAGGACACCTTCCGTTTCTGATCACCTGGGCGATCGAACCGGAAGTGGGAGCTGGTACCTGTCAAATTTTGGTACCCGCTCCCCCCTTGCCCCCCAAAGGTGCCAATCCTTAATGGGGAGCGGGGAGCAGTTCTTAGAGCAGAACTTCCCCTTTTGGGTGGAGCTCTGTTTTAAAGTACATAAAGTGAATGTTTTGTTTAATGCCCTGTTGATGTCACAGAAAATAATTTAGTTCAACTTTGTACTAACAAGCCTCTGTTTCTATTGTCTTACCGCCACATTTCATAGCAGTTGTGCAGGGTGTGTAACTATGATTGCAGTCCAATAGGCACCAGATGAGAGAGTGCTCTTAGTAATCACCATTCAATAAATAGCACCGACAGACCCACTTCCCTTTTCTGAAATACAAGCCTGTGTGCTGAGAATGTGGCTGTTACTCTGCTATGCCAGCACTGTGGTGTAAGAGCAGGAGGAAACAGATCTACTCGTGTTTACTAAAAGAAAAGGTATTCTGAGGCATTTCTAAGCAATAGTGAATCTCTAATCATAACGTTTGGGAATACATGTCTGTAAAGAAAGTGTGAGACTTCGATTGGTTTTAATGTGGGCAGCACAGTGGATAAATGGTTAGCACTTCCGCCTGGCAGTACTAGAGTCATTGGTTCGAATCCCAACCACAGCACCACCTGCCTGGAGTTTGCATGTTCTCCCTGTGCGTGGGTGGATTTCCTCCAGGTACTCCTGTTTCCTCTCACACTCCAAAGACATGCTGGTAGGTTAATCGGATCCTGTTTAAATTGGTCCTAGTATGTGTATGTATGAATGTGAGTTGGGGACTTTAGAGCGTACGCCCCTTGAGGGTTAGGGACTGATGTGAATGCACATTAATATATGTAAGCAGTGTGTAAATTGACAACTATGTAAGTACTGTATTTTCCGGCATATAAGACGACTTTTTAACCAATGAAAATCTTCTCAAAAGTCGGGGGTCGTCTTATACGCCGGGTGTCGTCTTATAAGCCGGTATTGGAGGAGGAAGACGAGGACGCTGAACTAGAAGAGACGGACGCCGCCGAGCTGGAGATGACCGATGTCTGATCAGCTGCACAGTCAGGACCTTCCATCTGCCCCTCTACAGCACGAGGATCTGGAGATGCTGACCATTCCCCCACGACCAAACCTGAGCCCCGTAACGGAGCACTTGGGCTAAACTTACTGGTACTTCCGAGCCGGTGTAGCGGCAAGATCTGTCTCCCGTGAAGATCTGTCCCCCTTGAAGCAACTGCGCATGTCACAGTTTTAGGCATAAGAAGCTGATCGCCAGTCAACAACAGCATCGAGCTGACACAGTTAACCCCTTTTCTGCTGCACCGCTGATCACACTTAAACACACTGCTGATCCCGCGGATCACTAGCCGCCGCCGATGCTCCAGCAAGATGGATCAAAGATGCGTATTGGGGAGCATCATCGATCGGAGAGAGGACAGTTACATTGGGGGGGGGGGGGGGGCCATAACATGAGGGGGGGGGACTGACATGGGAGGGGGGTCAGTGACATGGGTGGCCATAACATGGGGGGCATGACATGCGGAGGACATTGACATGTGGGGAGCCAGTGACATGAGGGGGGGACTGACATGGGAGGGGTGAATGACATGGGAAGGACAGTGACGTGGGGGGGAGAACAGTGACATGTGGTAGGGTCAGTGACACGGGGGGGGGGGGCTGTGACATGGGAGGACAGTGACGTGGGGGGGGGGGGGGGGCTGCCATGGGGAGGACAGTGACGTGGGGGGGGGTCAGTGACATGGTGGGGCCTGACATGGGGAGGACAGTGACATTGGGGGGGCAGTGACATGAGGGGGGCCACTGACATGAAGAGGACAGTGACATGAGGGGGGGCAGTGACATGGGGGGGCCTGACATGGGGAGAACAGTGACATTTGGGGGGGGGCAGCGACATTGGGTAGTCTTATACGGCAAGTATAGCCCAAACCCTATATTTTAACAGGAAAAGTAGGGGGGGGTCGTCTTATACGTCGGAAAATACGGTACCTGAAATAAATTGTTTAAAGTGGTATTGACAGGCAGGGTTTTAATACAGTCAAAAATGCCTCCCCTGTTTATCGGCAGCAATGTATCCTGAGCCACACATGCACAGCTCAGCCACATTTACGGAACTCGTGATGTGATTCCGTGCACATGCGTGGAAGTGATTGCATTGTGGCCCCGCAATTCAGGCAGCCAAAGAGGGAACCCGGAAGGAAGACCAGGGGAAGATGGAAGCCAAGGGAACTGGCGGATTTAAAATGTGTTTTTTTTTTTTTTTTGCTTTTTAATTTACTACCGCTTTATTCCATGGCACATTTCATAGATCACTACTCAGGGTCAGTGGGAGAAGGACTCTTAAACCATGTATAGTCTGATTCTGCATCACTGATCACTTTGATATTTCTTACATTGATATAACCGGCTTTCTGCATGAATGGCTCAACATGCAGCCTGGAAAAGGATGAATGGAAATGTCAGCAGATTACTGGCAAAGAATGTGAGGTAGAGTGGTGCAATACAGCAATACCTAGATGAACTAAAGTACTGAGCAGGTATACTGTATGCATCTCAAAGATAAGTTTTTGTAATTTTGGATTCAATTATTAAAATCTTCTATCAGCTTTAATATGTTAAAATAATTTCAAAAGCCATTTTCCATATTTTAAAGCAGGGTCTTTAATGGAATTAATACCTGTTGATTCTGCCACAAAGGTCCTTCTTCATGCACTTCTTGGGGTGACAACTCTCTGTCCCAGTCTCCCAATAGTGCTCCTGCCTTGTCACCCTATTGCACAGGCTTCCAATGGAGACTACAGGTGGCTGTTTCAACACGCATAATGGAACCATGCTTGCTGTTGTCACCATTTTGGAAAGCCACCCTGAGAAATTCCATTTTCTGACATACTAAATTGGCTGCAAAAGAGGCTGCAGCACTAAGGTGCAATAATAGGTGAATAAAGTGTGAAAACAAGTATCTATGTTGGAAAAAAGAAACGCCTGCTTTTTGATACTCAAATGCTATTCAGTTGAGGGTTAAAACTGCTTTAAATGTTTAGTTTGAGGTTCCTATTAAAACCGATTCAGTCTGTCAATCCCTGTAATGCATGATGACATGATGACTGCATGGTTGTTCCAGGTACAACTGGTTCCCATTTTCGGACCAATTTCATGTTCATTTGTGTCCTCCTTTTAACATCTTCCTCATGTGGAGCATTCAAATTGTCAAGTCCCACATCGGGCTATTTTACCCATGGACTAGATTTGTGCTTTTATATGATTTATTGTTTTTCTCTCATTTTACAGTTCTTTGCTTCTATGATCTCCACTTTCACGCTGAACTTTGTCCTCAGCATTTACAACCGCAAACCAGGTGACCTGAGCAATCCCGGTCTCATAAACTTCGGAAGATTTGATACAGATGTAAGTCTGGCCCTCCTTTTTTTTTTTTTTTTGCCTTTATGTTGAGTCCATAGCTACTAGCCTGGCCTTACCTTTTTACAGTTTAATCTTTCATATAATATAGAATGTGTTGCGCTACAAATTATATACAGAAAATAAATATGATCGTGGATTATTAGACGTGAAAATAAAAAAATGCATGCATAATCACTGTGTGAGAAATAAAAAAAAAAAAGTCTATAGAGTGTATAAACTTCATAATCAATAGAAGTCTCATAAACTCCAAAAGTCAAAAAAAGTCCCCTTCAGCAAGTGAGTTTAATCTTCAAAGAGTGCCCAGTGTGTCCACCAACACCGAGGATAGTGACAAGATGTCAGTTTACACAATTGCAATTACCCCCCCCCCCCCCCCCCCCCCCCCCCCCACTCAGAGCTGTCAAAAAAAGGCATCGGCTGTACATTTTCGACCTCCATGGCATCTCTCCATACATATAGGATCATGTTCAGATGAGATTTCCCAAGCATCTGCACCAGTATAGAGCGCTCTGCATAGCATACTATATATACTGGTACCTTTTATTAGACTTTAAAATATCACTCACAAGCGTAAAAACATAATGTGCATTATTAAATTCACCAGAGCTGGCAGGCCATGATGACTTCTGGTATGCAATGACGTCAACAGGGCTCTACCCTACGCATTTCGTCATCAAAAGGACATCTTTCGTGTAAAAGATAAATAGGCAGCATGTTCTGATTTAAAGTGATAGATAACAAACGTATTATAGTTGTTCTGTGCAGTGGTTTTACACAGAGCAGCCCCAATCCTTCTTTTCTCAGGTCACCCGCTGGTGCTACTGGCTCTTCTTCGCCGAGTGCCCCCATAGCAAGCGTGGTCGTTCCTGAGTCCCGCTCTGTGTGTCTATACGACACACAGAATGGGGCTGGACCCCGCCCCCACACTTCCTCCTCACTGGCTCTGATTGACAGATGTGGGAACCAATGGCCCCCTCTGCTGTCTCTCAGCCAATGAGGAGGCAGAGACCTGGCTCTTGTGCACATTGCTGAATCGCGATTGGTCTCAGGTAAGGATTGGGGGAGCTGCTTATTGGAAGGTTTTTTACCTTCAGCCTTTAGGACCACTTTATTGAAAGTAAAGTTGCAAATTGAAAGTAAAGTTGCAAATTTTCCCCCCGTTCCTGAAGAACCAGCTAAAATTCGCTAAATGGCCCTGATGGTCTCCTCCTGCCCGACATTCGTTTGAAAAAGTTGGTATTCTGACGCCAGCTCCGGCAAGTATGCAGTAAAGGGTGACAACACTGCAGCTGAACTGCAGCGTTGTCAGAATTCCAGAGATACAGAGAGATATTGAGGGCAAACTTTACTTTCAGACGTGGGTAGTGATGCAGGAATTGGGGTGCTTGGAGAATTCTGTTTTTTCATTCTGAGATACTTCTATTCTAAATGATGAAGGAAAGTGAGACACACAGATCTTTGTTCTTTCTTCCACTGCATGAGCAATTACTTCTGTGTGTGACATAATGGGGTTAATAAATTATGGAGAGAAACGCCACAATTCTTCTATCTCCTCAATCTCTCTGTAGGAGAAACTCAAGTCAGGAGTAAGTCTCATGATCTTAATGGCATGTCCTGGTGGTCCTCCTCAGAGGAAAATGGAAATCTATAACAATTTGGAATAATGTGTATGATCGCAAAATGAATTACTGCTTTTGGGCATGCTTGAACTCCTGATGGCCTTTCCATATTCGTGTTCTGTGTATTTTTCCCAAGAGAAACAAATGCAAGAATTCAATATAGGTTCCCTCCCACCACTATGTACATGTAGAAATAATAGTTTAAAGTGAACTTAAACTACAAAAAAAAAAGGGATTTGCTGTGTGATAAGAAACACTATCAAATAATGAATTTATTTATATATAACTTGGAAAATTAAACTTTTTGCCTTGAATTCCAACTGCAAAACGGCTATGATTTTACTGTGCCTAGGCACTTCTGTTCTTTTGCCTCATAGCTGTATTTCTGCAGTTTGAAGTAATCTAAGAACCTGCTGCCTTTGTCTGCTAGTGTTACTAGATCTGGAGTGAGATTTGGTGATGTCACAACCGTGCTGCTCTCCTTGCTGGAGAGGGAGCTGTACCTGAGAACCTGCAGTGCAAGAATTCCTCTGCTGCAGTAATGCATCTGTGCTTTCTCAACAATATGCTTTTTTTTTTTTTTTTTTAATACTCCCCCCATTATTCGTTTGGTGGGGAGTATCTCTGGTGTGCATAAGGTAAACCCTGATTCTCTCACAAACTAGCTGCCTCCACACACAAAGTGCAGAACGAGGTGGGGTAAACCAGTAATTGGGAAAAGATTAGCTGCAGGGAGACCACAGTCAATACTGGTGAGTAATACTTTAAAGTGTTACTAAAGGCAGACATTTTTTTTATTAAAATAAGAAACATGTTATGCTCTGTGCAGTGGTATTGCACAGTGGCCCTGATCCTCCTCTTCTTAAGTCCCCCGCCGGCGATCCTGGCTCCTCCTCTTCTTTGTGTGTCCTCATAGCAAGCCGTTTGTATGGGGTCAAACTCTCCCGATCTGTATGTCTACGGAGCCACACTCCATAGATACGCACAGCGGGACGTAGCCCTGCCCCCCCCAACGGCTTTTGCTTCTGTTTGGGTCCCTGTGGGAAGGTATGCAGCCGTGCACATCACTGATCTCTTCTGCCCTCTTCCCCTTCACACAAGGAAAGGGGAGCACGGGGAACTTAGACATGTTTTACTTTTTTGAAAGCAATGAGTTAAATTATTACTAAACCCAGGACCCTGAATTCACTCAGTCTGATCTCCTACAGTACACAGAATTTTGCAATGCAATTATTTTAGTAAATATAAACTGCTAAATACCTTTTCTAATCAGCTGTATATAGCAGTCGTGTGACTTTTATCAGTGTCCAGCAAAGCACTGGTTAAAGCTTGTAGGAGGAGTTTTCTTTCTGCTCTAGCAGGATGCAGAACCGCTGACCTCTGTCTGGGCAGTGCTGATTGGCCCTTTGTTGATCACATACACTCTTCCAAGAAATAAAAAAACCTCTCTAGCAATACACACTAAACTGAGCATGTGCAGAGTGACTCTACACATTATGTCTTATCAAGAGATAAGAGGGGGGGCATTGGAAGAAGGGGAGGATCGGAGACTGAAGAGCATTAACCTCTTAGGTTCCACAGTGAGTATAACAAGCATGCTTTACTGCATATACGACTGATTTCACTGTTGCATACAAATGTGTGGCCTCCCGGCGTCCGGGCCTTGATGCTGAGCGGCCGCACATTGGCGTGCGTTTAGAAAAACATATGTGCTGAGAGCACGTGCCCTGCGCGCTCCCAGCACACCTGTCCGGTACTCACGGAAAGGTCCCAATCTCCTCTTTCGATCAGGACCTTTCCCAATCATGTGACGGCGAATCACAGTGGTCACATGACCCTTAAATCCCGCCTGCCTCCCTTCTTCCGAAACCCTTATAGGGCCAGGAGGCGCCGGCGCCAAGGGGTTAAGGTAAAAAAAAATGTTTGGGTTTATTATCACCTTAATCTTGTATTCAAGGGGTTAAAACAAGCCCATAGCTGTAGCAGCCTGTGAGCTTGGTACTGAATTTTAGAGCAGGCGATGTGCTCTTAGATAAAAGTGATCTGGGTGACTCTAGAGCCACCACAGAAATTCTAGATGAACCCCGTCTGCGCACTGCTATATACCCTTTCTAGAAGACTTTGCAATGAAAACACAGGGATTTCTGGTTCACACGTATTGCAATACTGGCCAACTGTGTCAGTGATCCCTCTATGACTAGTCCCTAACCTCTGCAAAATGGAAATGCTACAGTGGATATAGTGCCAGTATGGGGCAGATAGACACAAGTTGGGGGAGAGCTACTGGTTCAGGTCTGGTCACTAACCTGGGCTATGCGAGAAAATCTACCTGTGCTCAAATCCCAATTGCTGGTGCATGTATATAATTCATCAGGTGCTAAAGGGCTGTTAACTCTAGAAATTCTGGATGAATCCTTTGCACACTGCTATATACCCTGCTATATACCCCTTTCTACAAACCTAATGAAAAAAAACAGATTTTTGGTTCACACATATTGCAATACATGTTTAGGCTGAAGCCACCCTATCACGTTTACAGGGCTCTGAAGGTTCGCCTCCTTGTGATTGCAATCATTTTTTATTTTTGTCTGTCTTATTGGTAACACACCAGTTTTGATTTCTCATACACTTTCTATGCCGCGACAATGGTCCCCAAAACCTATAGAGATGCTGTATCTCCCCAGGGAGCACTAGACATGGACAGCAATGAAAACCTAACAGCGGTTGTTACTATTTCCTATGCTAGAATTAAAAAAAAAAACAAAAAAACTCAAAAAGGACATTTTTGATGTAGAAACACTGGAACAACTTTTCATGGTGGCTGTATGCTGTAAAAGAGACAAGACAGTGTTCCTTTTCTCAACTATTGTTGTTTGTTGATTGGCAGGAAAACAGCTACAAGTACTTTGAACTTCCAATCTTTATTGGCATGGGAGCAATAGGTAAGACCAAAGAAAACCTTTTAATACTTCACGAAGATGAAAGATTGTTAAATATGCAACTGATCATTGTTTGAATTTCCATAGCAGAATGCTAGTGTATTTTGAAACTGCTTATCAAAAAAATCTGTTTATTACGATTAACACACACACACACACACACCACACACCCCCTGTATTAGGTACACCTGTTCAAGTGCTTGGGAACACAAATTGCTAATCAGCCAATCGCATGGCAGCAACTCAGTGCATATAGGCATGTAGACAACTTGTTGAAACCGAGCATCAGAATGGGGAAGTAAGGGGACTTAAGTGACTTTGAACATGGCATTGTTGTTGGTGCCAGAAGAGCTGGTCTGAATATTTCAAAAACTGCCGGTCTACTGGGATTTTCATGCACAACCATCTCTAGAGTTTACATAGAATGGTCCGAAAAGGAGAAAATGTCCAGTGAGAAGCAGTTGTGTGGAGGAAAATGCCTTGTTGATGTCAGAGGAGAATGGGCAGACTGGTTCCAGATGATAGAAAGGCAACAGTAACTCATATCAATATAGATCAAAATTTCTGAGAAATGTTTTCAACACCTTGTTGAATCTATGCCACAAAGAATTAAGGCAGTTCCGAAGGCAAAAGGGGGACCTGGTGTTAGCAAGGTGTACTAATAATGTGGCTGGTGAGTGTGTGTGTGTGTGTGTGTATGTGTATACAGGGGCGGACTGACCATTTGGAAACTCGGGCACCGCCCGAGGGCCCAGGGTCAATAGGGGGCCCCATGAGATGCCCCTGGTACCTTTTTCTCATAGGCTTTTTCGAGTTTGGGCAAGGACACGGGCCCCATGATCCCCTATTGTCCGGGGGCCTCATGAGTTGTCAGTCCACCCTGTGTGTGTGTGTGTATATGTATGTATATATATATATATGATATGTGTGTGTGTGTGTGTGTGTGTGTGTGTGTGTGTGTGTGTGTGTAAAAGGTGCAGCGCTTGTAAACAATAGGTATACAAAAGTCCTTAGTGGATCAAATAATAGATACAAAATAAAGGATATGGGGTAGTCCCGCAAATACAGGTGAGTATGAATAGTTGAGGTGACTTTGATATCCATGTAGAGGTGGTAATGAAATGCGCACTCACCGGATGCGCATATTGTGTGTATAATTATCCTGATGTCAGGGGATGGGTGGTCTTCCCTCTATCGGATCCGAGGCGCTTTTTACTACTTGTACATACATACATATATATATATATATATATATATATATATATCAAATGCTTTTTTATGTTCTGCAACTTCTTATCTTTTCTTGGCAGGAGGCTCGCTGGGAGCGCTGTTTAATGCCTTGAATAACTGGCTCACAGTGTTTAGAATCCGGTAAAGTTTTGTGTTCCGTCTTTACCCAATTCCTTTATCTGTGTACACGTTTGGGCGTCTAGTGTTTTGACACCCTGGTGATGCTGCAGCCTTTTCACATAGAAAATACACAGGAAGCAGTAGGACACTAGTAAATTCCCTTCTTTTAATAGGAATGTGGAATGATTAGATCCATACATGTGATGTATATAGAAGACCCAGAGAACATTTTTTTTTTTTTTTTTTTTTTTTTTTTAAGGATAACTTCACCTTTTGTAACATGTTACAACACCCATATTCATGATGTAACATGTTACAAAAGGATTGTCCCCTCTCCCTGTTGTGACAGCCTGCTAGCTGTTACAATAAAACATGGGGAGGGGGCTGTGGGGGACTCCACCCACCCAGCTGTGTCTTCCATCCACAGTGTTTTGTGAATGAATGAACTACAAGTCCCAACAGCCTTTGCAGCTGTCAACTTGTAGTTCTCATTGAATTAGCACAGTGCTGTGGAGTGCCGTGGTAGCTCATTGATTCTTAATTTTTGTTTATCTGCGTGCCTGTACATCCCGTATGGACAAGGACATATACTGATAGGTCTGCCAGAGACTTTCATGGCAATGCTTTAGAGCAGGGGTGGGCAAACTTTTTGACTTGAGGGCCGCAATGGGTTCATATATTGGACCCGGGGGCCGGACCAAGAGTAGATGAACTATGTGTATGTGTCATCCATAGTAAGTATAGTAATATTCCCCCATAGTAAGCATAGTAATTCATCCCCCATAGTAATTCATCCCCCATATAGTAATTCATCCCCCATATAGTAATTCATCCCCCCTATAGTAATTCATCCCCCATATTAAGTCCCCAAGTCCCCCCTGTGTCAATTCACTTACCTTTGCTCCGCGCGTTCCTCTCGCCGTATTCCCGCGCCGTTCCGGTGTAGCATGAAAATCTGTCTCCTATGAGGATCTGTCCCCCTCGACGTATCTGCACATGTGCCAGTTTCAGGCATTCGCAGCCGATCGGCGATCTCCGGCACATGCGCAGATACGTCGAGGGGGACAGATCCTCATAGGAGACAGATTTTCATGCTACACCGGTCTTCAGGGCGGACTGTGAGAGGAGCCTAGCTCCGCGGGCCGGATTAAAAGGTCCGCCGGGCCGTAGTTTGCCCATTGCTGCTTTAGAGGCTCCAGAAACAAAAAAAAATAATAAATGCACATTTTTTTACCTGCAAAAAAAAAAAATTGTGCATGTATAATTTTTTTTTTTTTTAAAAGGTGAACTTTTGGTTTAAACTGGAGTTTCACTATAACAGATGTAACCGTCGACAATTTTTTTTTCCCCTTCTACTTTTTTTTTTACCATTAGCCTCCTGCAAAATGACTTTACCTTCTAGCTGTATTAGGATGAATGTCATTAATTTGTTTCTTCCTGAGTGAAATAGTTTGAGTTTTCATTCATGTCTTTGTGTTGCCAACAATAATTTTCCCAGCAATATGTCATTTTTTTTTTGGGTAATTTGAGAAATTCATGTGAAGTAATAAATGGATCTGCAAGAACGTGCATAGTGTATCCTGTGATGACAGCATGAGTGGGTGTAAATGCCAATCATATTAGTAATAATGACCACTCTGAAATAGAATATAGATGATAAAATCAGATGTGCAGTTAAAATGTCTTTCAGCAGTAGAGGTCTGTTAAAGTGGACCTGTACTGTGGAAGCTTTGCCTGAGAAAGGCAGGAGGAGGGAAAACAACTAGTCACTGGTTATCCCTGTGGTCACCCTGCCGCTGATTTGTCCCCATGATTTACCATTCTTTGTTCCGCACTGCTGTCATGTAGAGGCTTCTTCATTGAGATATGGTGATGCCACTACTGGTGCTCATTGTTCTCCTTGCTGGAAAGGAAGCTGAAGTGCAAGTATTTCCTTTCTTCTGCTTCATTCACTGGATCTGTACTTGCTCCACCTCTCCTGCTTCTTTATGATCCTTCTCCCGCCAGTCATCAAATCGCTATTCCTCAAGGGAGCTACTCTGACATCAGGAAGCAAAGCCCTACCCCTCTAGTGTGGCTGCCTCCACACAAGAAGGTGCTGAACAATGCATGGTAAGTAGGAGGGAAGCATTAGCTGCAGGGAGACCCAAAGGAATACTGGTGAGTAGTCCTTTGCCCACTGCCTGCCTGTTTTGGGCACAGCTCTCACAGTAGGAGTCCTCTTTAAGAACCCTGGAAGTGTGCTTTGTCTGTGCTCTTCCTCCATTGCAGACAGTGGGGGATACACCTCTGAATGTGATGTATAGAGAGGTTAGTACCTCCTGCTCTAGTTCCTTTATTTTAACCCCTAGACGCCGAGCACACGCAAATATGCAGCCTCTCGGCGCCTGGGCCTTGACGCTGAACGGCCGCATATTTACGTGCCATTAGAAAATACATATGTGCTGAGAGCGTGCTCGCTGCACATGTGTCCGTGACTCACGGAAAGGTCTCGATCTCCCTTTGTGATCGAGACCTTTTCGGATCATGTGATGGCGAATCGCGGCGGAACCATGACCCTAAAACCTCGCCCGCCTCCCGACTTCTGAAACTCTTAAAGGGCTGAGAGGTGCCGGCGCAAAGGGGTTAAGGAAAGTTGAATAATTACCTTCAGACGAGACAAGTCTCCGCATTATATGTATATGGGGAATGCAGTGTCCGTCCTTCCTGCATCCCGTCTTTCATTGAATCCTTCTCTGCTTATATAGCCTTTCTTATCAAACCGAAACAGATCACCCTGAAAGGACCAAAGCGGACACCATTCCTTTCTTAGATCAGCACACACGCCTTAATGGCACAACTCCAATCAAGATATGTGTTTTGCAATAAACCACTTGAAATATATGAAGTTATAAAAACATAAAATGTGGTATACAGCCATCTTATAATATTCTATATACGTGATTTAGTAAGGATCATATTTATCCCTACACAGTGATCATCATGATTTTAATATGGTTACTGGGAAGGCATTACTCATCGCATCTCTATAAAATATGGTGTGTGTGTTTTGTACTGCATAACTAAACGCTGTTCTCTCTTCAGGTATTTACATCGTCGCTACATGCAGGTGATTGAGGCCATTTTGGTAGCAGCTGTGACAGCCAACATTGCCTTTGTCTTGATTTATTCCTCCTCCGACTGCCAGCCACTGCGAGAGGGTTCTGGTGAATACTCATTGCAGGTAGCCTATCGGGCCCCTAGGTATATCAAATGCTGCAAGCATTGCAATTACCCAATTGTCTAAAGGAATATTCACACCAGATGCGGTGGGACTGCATTGGGAGTCTATTCTAGTGAAGTCGCACCACATGGACAAGGCAAAATGCCTGGTCTCCTTATGTGTCTGGATCACACCATTGTGCTGCAGTGGTGTGCAGGCACAGAGCGCTGAGAAAAAGTACTGCATGCATTAATTTTTATTTGTGCAGCACAGTAAGAGGCAATTCACTGCCTTGCACTGCGCGGATGGCAATTGAACTTTCTGGGATGTCTTTGTGGTTTTTTTTTTTTTGTTAACCTCCTTAGCGGTTTTCCCGAGTGTAGCTCGGGGTAAAATTTGAGCACCAAGAGCGGTAACCCTGAGCTACACGCTCGGGCTTACCATGCGGCGCTGCTCAGGGAGTCCCTGCAGCACTTACCTTGTCCTTCGCTCCCCGCGATGTGTCCCCTGCAGCGTCCCCGGCCATCTCCTCCGGCCGATTCCGGCTTCTGTGTTCCGGTCCCTGTGACGTCGGGACGTACAGGCGCCAGAACCGGCGGCAAATTTGAAATTTTTAAAAAATATCATTTTAGCTGTCATTGCTGTTTCAATGCATTTCACATATATTTTGTCCCGAGTGCTTTGTCCGGCGCCCTGCCTGCATTTTGAATGTTCTTTCTGCCTGGAAACTTAGAAAAGTCCATGGCGTCCAAAAAGCGTCCCTTTTACGTCAAAAGCGGTTTTAGACCGGCTAGAGAACAGCGATAGTAAATCAGAACCACTTGCAGAATTGAGTGATAATGATTCATGGGGGAAATTCCTCATCAGACACTGAAAACGATTTTGCGACTTTGCTCAGCGATGTGCAAATTTGCCTCTGTATTTCAAATTTCAGTGTTTTTTGGTTTGATTATATTATTGAATTAAATTTATTATTATATTATAATTTTTTATGATTATTTATTAAATTATAATTTATGATTTCGTGTTTCAAGTTTTATCCTACCCGGAATGTTTTCTAAACTCTTGTTCGGACAGATTTCAGTGAGTTATTCCTAAAAATTACAGCCTACAATATAAAACTACATATTTCCATGCAAAAAAATGTACCGCTTTCAGCACAAAAAATCGGAAAGAATCATACCGCCGAGGAGGTTATGGAAGCAGTGTGATTCTCCAAGCTCAGCGCTGCACCATTGTGCTCAGTCAGACTGCACATCATCCGCAATGCTGCAGCTGGTGTGAACCAGCCCTCAGTCATTCCCTGACCTGATGGTCAGGGAAGCATTTAGACAGAGGGGCACTCCAGAAGGCTGGGCAGTGATACAAATTATTTATGGCTAGGAAGTCGGTTATCTACGTTTTTGTGAAGGTGTCTTTTAAACACAAGTGTATTCTTATTTCCCCAGCTCTTCTGCCCAGATGGCCAATACAATGCTATGGCATCGGCCTTCTTTACCACTCCAGAGATCAGCGTCCGCAGGCTGTTTCATGATCCCGCTGGTGAGTTTAGTCCGTGAGCTCCTTTTTCAGATATTGATAAAGTGGATCTAATCTCATGAATGCACAAGTAGAGTTAGCTGAAAAAAGACAAAAGTCCATCCAGACATCCAAAGAAGAATTTTCCATTGTACATGCAAATGTTAAAGTGGTAGTAAAAAAAAAAAAAAAAAAAAGTTTCCTGCTGCAAGGTAATATAATGTGCTAGGATGCATTGCATAGTAGCACATTATGAAGGACTTACCTTAGAACTAAGCCCTCCAGCGGTGTGCTGTCATTGCTTCAGGAAGCTTCCATCTTCACCTGGTCTTCCTTCCAAGTCCGCAGGCTGAGGCTGCTTGAAAGGCCAAGCTGCAGATGACGTTGCTCATGCGCGAAGGAGTTTCACACAGCTTTGAGGGCTGTATCATACTATAGAAAAACAGTCCAGATGCGTTCCGGATTAGTTTCTGCATGCACGTTTCTACATGTGTGTTTGGCGCGTTCCGGTGCATTTTTGATGCGTTCCAGTTCATTTCCTTTTTTTTTTTCTTCAATTGAAATAGGTACGTTTGTTCCAGTGCCTTTTTGGTGCATTCTGGTGCATTTTTTGATGCGTTTTGCTGTGTTCCAGACAGTTCTGTGCAGGAAAAATGCAGCCTGTTTTACTTTTTGTCTGCATCCGGAACACACTGGAACTGCAAGCACTGATGTGAACTGTAACATTGACAACCATATAACCTACTTTTTGTGCATTTTGGATACAGAAAAAAAGCAACTGAAATGAATGTAGTGTGAACTGGCCCTGAAGGAATGGCACAGGTAGGCTGTTCCTTCAGAGCGCATGCGGCGGTATTGTCACCAGCTGCTGCTCTGTAGAATATCTCCTAAACGGTGACTGTTTATGAGATATTCATTTTGCCTACAGGTAAGCTTCATTATAAGCTTACCTATAGGTTATAATCTACAAAGTGACTTTACTACCACCTTAAAGCCAAATTCTAGGAACTGAGATCTTGCTAAATTTTGATGCTTAACCGCTTGCCGCCTCACCACAGTACATTTAAAAAAAAAAGTTTTTTCTTAGTTTCTGTTATAAAATTTTGTAAATAAGTGATTTTTCTCTCTTTCACTGATGTGCGCTAATGAGGGTGCAGTGATGGGCACTGATAGGCTGCACTGATGGGCACTGATGAGGAGGCACTGGTGGGTGGCACTGAAAGGCAGCACTCATATATGGCACTGTTAGGCGGCACTGACTGGCACTTCAGATGGGCACTGATATGTGGCATTGATGGGCACTGGCAGGTGGCATTGATAGGGCACACTGATCATCAGTGCACATGTTCCTCTGAGTAATGCTGATTACCTGCTCTCCTCTCCTCTGTCAGCGTGACAGCTTGTGAGGAGAGGAATGCCGATAACTGGCATTTCCTTATTTACATGCAATCAGCTGTGATTGGACACAGCTGATCACATGACAGAGCCGACATCTTCGGCTCTTTCCATTGAACGGTGATCCGCTGTGTCACAGGCACACAGCGCACCACTGATCGCCACGCTGCTAACCCCCGGGGCGCGCACGCGCGGTTAAAGTGGGAGGATGTCATATGACGTCCTCCCAAAACGAGAGAACTGCCTTGCGCCCGTCATTTTCTTATATGGCGGGCGGGAAGTTGGTTAAAGGTATTTTTAATGAATGATTTTTGAATCGGTGTATAGCAGAACTTAAAGGGTGGGTTTTTATGTTTGTCCAGAGGTATCCTTTAATAAATTGTGCATATTCCCCCCCTACAGGTTCTTTCAACCCCCAGACTCTGGGCCTGTTCACATTGCTATATTTCTTCCTGGCCTGCTGGACCTATGGCTTGACTGTGTCTGCCGGTGTCTTTATCCCGTCTCTACTCCTTGGAGCCGCATGGGGACGACTCTTTGGAATCCTGTTGTCCAGTCTTTCTACTGAAACTATTGTAAGTCTCTTTTGGGAAGTTCTAATTTCTGTTTGTTAGGTGCACTTTCACTTCACCTTTTGACATTGGTGCCTTAAAATCTTGTTGACTCCCACACGTGTGGAAAATGCCAGCATTCTGTTCTAGTTATCGGCATCCACAGGTGACCATTTTAGGATTGCAAGGTATGCCCTGCCTGTACATTGATACGTATAATTTCTTGAGATCTATACTACAGTTGCAGATTGTGCACCCCTTGAAAAGAGTGTACGAGGACGTCTGCAGAGGACTTTGGCTGAAAAAAAAAAAAAAACAAAGTCCACAAACATGATGCAGACTTTTTGCAGCCATCAAAAAAAAAATAAATTCAAAAGCAGAAGGAGCTTGTGTTATTTGAAGGATAGAGCAAAAAAACATGTACAGGACATTGCTGATGACCAGTGCCAAAAAAAGTGCAGAAATAGCGCTGACAAATTTCCTTCAAATCTTTCCATAAATTTAAATTGTCAAATTGCTGTACTATCTGCGGAGGTCATTATGGAAATGTCAACAGTCTACAGTGAATTGCAGCCAGTAAGCTATTGCTGCTTTTGTACTACCCCCTCTGCTGTCCGGAAAAGGGAATAACCTTTTCAAAACTGGTCATAGACTGATACCGGCGGCCAGGGTGAGGGACCTGCAGTGTACCTGATGTGTGTTGTTCCATAGGTTTGTGGGTGGTGAGAGGGATCTAGAGAACTCTCATATCACTGCCTATGCTCCTGTAATGAAAGAGAATGTTGGTAGAAAGGGAGGAGGCAACAAAGCCTGTCTGCTCCTTCAATGGTTACTGCAAGTAGCGTGTTGTAGTAATGTTAGTAGTCCCTGAACAGAACTACAAGGAGGTGTTAGGTGCATAGCAAAGCCTTCTGGGGTGCTTGATCCCAATTCCAGGAATTTCCATACTTCCACTTCAGATCCATGCTGATAGATTTTCAGTGCCTTCAAAGGTTTGATTAAAGTTTATGTACCATAAAAAAAGTTTGGGGGTTTATGTAAACCCTAACCATGAACTTCTATTTGCTCTCCTTTAATCTGTTAAATAGAACACTGAAAGTGTCTCAAGATATATTTTAAATGTGCAAAAAATACCTGTTCTTGCCAGAAAGCTGTCCTGTGTGCTCTACCTTGTTATCTCAAGCATTGTTCTCAGACCTGCCTAGCTCTTTCTGTGGACTACAAATCACCCCCTATGTCAGGGGTAAGCAAACTTTCAGAGGTTGAAATCTTCCTGGACAACATAGAGGAAATTGAAGATCCCCAGGAGAAAGGGGAGGGGTTGCACCCTTAAAAAAACAACTATCAAGCCCACAGTAAAAACACAGCATAGTGTACTGTGCCCCTTCCACTAGTGTCCTGTGCTCCCAGTTCACATAATTCCTCCCCTCCTGCCCCGCAGTAGTTTCCCTGCCCCGCAGTAGTTTCCCTGCCCCGCAGTAGTTTTCCCTGCCCCGCAGTAGTTTCCCTGCCTTTCCCTGCCCCCTGCAGTAGTTTCCCTGCCCCGCAGTAGTTTCCCTGCCCCGCAGTAGTTTCCCTGCCCCGCAGTAGTTTCCCTGCCCCCCGCAGTAGTTTCCCTGCCCCGCAGTAGTTTCCCTGCCCCGCAGTAGTTTCCCCTGCCTGCCCCGCAGTAGTTTCCCTGCCCCGCAGTAGTTTCCCTGCCCCCGCAGTAGTTTCCCACCCCCCCCTCCCCTACAGTAGTTACCTCTGACCCCCCCTGCCTGCCCCGCATACAGCAGTGTCCTCTCCCCCCCCCCCCCCCCCCCCCCCTCAACCCCACAACGGGGTCCTCTGCCCCTCCCCCCCAAAGCAGTGTCCTGTGCTCCTCCCCCCCCCTCCCCAAGGCAGTGTCCTGTGCTCCCCCCCCCCCCCCCCTCCCCAAGGCAGTGTCCTGTGCTCCTCCCCAAGGCAGTGTCCTGTGCTCCCCCCCAAGGCAGTGTCCTGTGCTCCCCCCCAAGGCAGTGTCCTGTGCTCCCCCCCCCCCCCCCCCCCTGCCTGCCCCCCAGTAGTTACCCTGCTCCCCCCCAAAGCAGTGTCCTGTGCTTCCCCCCCCCCCCCCAAGGCAGTGTCCTGTGCTCCCCCCCCCCCCCCCCCCCCCCCCTCCTCCCCCCCCCCCCCCCCCCCAAAGCAGTGTCTTTTGTACCCGTTCACATCACATTAATACCACTTTAAGAAGAAAGGGGGGAGAAGTGTTAGCAGTCCAGACCTAGGGTAACAAGTGTGTTACTGGCAGGATCGCCAGGTAAAAATAAAGGAAGAAATTTAAATAGCCAACTAAATTTGAAGATTAGTAAACTGCACTATGCTTTTTTTGTCTTGGGTTTAGATACACTTTAAGAACAGATGGCAGGTTATGATGGAATGAACATGCAGCTGCACTATTTCTGGTTTAAGGTACAGGTTTAAAAAAATAAATGCACCTTGAGAACTCCTGTCCTCTTTCCTTGCCCAGCTCATGATATTTGGAAATAGAAAAGCACAACTCAGATTTAGGCAAAAGCAAAGTGTTTGCTGCAAAGGCAGCCCCAGAGTGGCACAATGTACATTCTCTGAAATTGTGTGAGTGTGGGGCCCTGCCTTGGAGAATGACCACCTACACATTTTAGATCGTCACTTGCTCTTTCAGAGAACAGTCGTGTATCACAGGGCATATACATGGATTCTGGACCTCAAAGGTTTCATTTTTGTTTAAATCTGAGGTTTGTTCTTGTATTTCCAAATTCGCAGGGGGAGGCTGGGGAAAGAGCATGCAGTGTCTGTTGTCAAAGTGCACCTACCCTTTAAAATGAACATGACTCATACAGTCCCAAAAGCCTCACCAGTTTTGCATTTTGTACATACACATTCCATGATAATTGACATAATTGCATATATAGAACAGAACAGGAATGGACCATTTTCTAACAGCCATTTCATTTTTTTCCAGATGTTTCCTGATTTCCATATTCTATTCTATATGCTAGGGGATTGAGGAGTGGCTACACACAGGAGCTCAACTTAAGAGCTCACCTTTACAAAAAAAAATACCTATGCAAATAAGAGGTGTCTGTAGATAAAAACACTTTGCAGATATGAGTAAAATTGAATAATGTCCTTGCTATAGGTCATTTACATACCTCCTGAAGCCTGACTGGATAACTCCCAGGATGTTTCTAAATAAGACCTAGTCATTAGTGCTCACCACCACCACAGGAGTGAGCACTTTGATTCAAAACCCCTCAAAACTGTACTTATTCTCCCCTGATGCAGTAGCTCTGAGCTCAGCATTTTGATAGCTCACTTTTGTGATTGTGGAGGTGAGCAATAACGACTAGGTGTAATACAAATGCTGGGTGCAATAACTAAAAGCAAGTCCACAACATCAACAGGTAGTCACACACAGGTACTTTTTATACCATTCCATATTCTACGCAAGACCCACTGCCCAATGAATACCTGCCCTGGCACATCATAGCATTCACTCGGCATTCCAAGAAATAACAGAATCCAACTGCAATATTCTTGCACTGTCAAAACCTCCACTTTTATTATCACACGACACACCGGAGGATATATCTTATAGTCATCACAATTTGCATAATAGCACACGCCAATAATAATATGAGCAGTACAGCATGAAATAAACACATTATTTGACAGTGTCACAGCATAGAATTGATACATTACCAAAGCTATGTTAGAAGCTGGAAGGAACAAATCACATACTGCCCATGAGGGCCACGGGGAAGCCGTAAGCGCGACCGATTGATGATAAGCCTATATAGCCTTGACAACAGTCCCAGCATCAGAGCGTCCCATCACGCATGGAATGGCTTCCTAATCAATGTCGCTTGGACTCCTGGCTTTTAAACCATTTTTCTAGAAGCTTTCCAATAGTGGGCGGGCGCCACACCCACCACAGGAGGGGCTAGCAGAAGTGTTCCGCGAGGATAAGAGTCAAGCTCAACCACCACATTGATCCCACATCGTTATCTGAAAAGTCACATTTTTGCTTCTTATCTACCCTAAATTTTTTCTCATCTACCCCAAACTTCTTCTCATCTACCCTAAACTTAAAGATTTCTAACTTCTCAAGCAGGTAGACCTCTTTATACAGGTTTTTATCTTCTAATGTGAGGTTACTAGATGTCATAAACACGTTCAATTCCATAAACAAGTTTTTATCTTGCTATAAAGAGGAATATCTTGTGCCTCTGTTCCTTGGGCTTAGAGAAATGACATTAGTCACCTCTCATGCTCCTGGCATTTGGGCAACAATGCTTTATTGTAAAAATTACCTGAGAAACAAAGGGTCCAAGGTCAACACATTTCATAGGCATTACACTAGGCAATGCCCCAACAATACCCTGGGAGTATTCCAGTCAGGCTTCAGGAGGTATGTAAATGGCTTACTTCTATAGCACGGGCATTATTTAGCTTTAGCCAGAGCTGCACAGTTTTTACCTACAGATGTCCCTTTTCTGCATAGGCAGTTTTTTTTTTTTTTGTAAAGGTGAACTAACCCTTTAAACTACTTTTGTGAATGGCAGTTTGAGTAACACAAAAACATTTGCAGTTTCTCAGCAGTTTGAATTTTGTGCACCAAGAGTGAATGCGCTTTTTTGATTGTCTTGCGTAGGCATGGGCCGATCCTGGGAAATACGCTCTGATGGGAGCAGCCGCACAGCTAGGTAAGTGTGTTATGTGTAAGTCATGACTACATTTATTTTACAGCAACGCCATAAATTGTGCTTTCTGAAAATTGGCTGTAGTTTTGTTTTAGAGCCGAATTCCAGTCTTCACAGCTAAATACAGAGATGAAATGCTAGGAAGCGGTTTTATCTGCCAACAAACTTATATTTCTGTCCATTCAGTCCTGAGATATAGTTGGCTCTGCTAGACAGCGCAGACCTTTCTGGCATGGCAGGAGACCTGATTTTGCACTGCTGCAGTTCATTTACGACGTACAGGGTCTTGTCCCTCCCCCAGCCTGTGACTGGACAGTGAAAGGAGAAGCTGCAGACTGATGAGCTCATCTCTCTGTCATATATCAAAAGGATAGACAGGCGCGTGGAATATGCAGTCCGCATAGTCTTTTAGATAGATGGACGGGAGGGTAGACAGTCTAAATACCAGGGCCAGCTGAGGTAGAGTGAAGCAAAAACTCTAAATTGGACAAAAACAGAGGGAAAGAACACAGCGCCTCTACGTGTAGACTGTATGACAGCTTTAACCCCTAGACGCCGAGCGCACGCAAATATGCGGCCTCTGGACGTCTTCACGCCGAGTTGCCACATATTTGCGTGTCATTAGAAAATACATGTGTGCTGAGAGCATGCGCGCTCCCAGCACATCTGTCCGTGACTCATGGAAAGGTCCCGATATCCCCTTGCGATCAGGACCTTTTCCGATCATGTGATGGCGAATCACGGCGATCACATGACCCTAAAACCCCGCCTGCCTCCTGGCTTCTGAAACTCTTAAAGGGCCAGGAGGCGCCGGCACAAAGGGGTTAATGATTAAAACAGTAAGTTTAACAACTCGCATCTTCTAAATGACAGACAGGCTCATATGGGTTTGCAGTGCGCCTCATAGCCAGATGGTAGAACCGCGGTGAGAATTTCATAGAGAATGGATGCCGGCTGGTCCCTCTCAATTCTGGAATCACCGTTAAGATATCCTCAAAAGTGATTCGAAAGGTTTTATTTTTTTTTTGTAAAATAACAAACATGTTATATTTACCTACTGTGTGCAGTAGTTTTGCACAGAGTAGCCCAGATCCTCCACTTCTCAGGTCCCCCACATGTTCTCCTGGCTCCTCTTGTCTGTCAGGAGCCCCCACAGCAAGCAGCTTGCTATGGGGACACCCGATTATCCGTGTGTTCATTCATACACGTAGCCGTGGATCAGCCCCGCCCCCTTGCTGTCTCCGCCAATGCTGCTTTCCGTGGGGGCACCCGCCGAAGAGGAGGGGTTTGGGACACCGGCAAGGAACCCCCGTAGGAGAGAATCAGGGCTGCTCTGTGCAAAAGCATTGCACAGAGCAGGTAAGTATGGACATGTTCGTTATTTTAATAAAAAAGACAAAAACTAAGGTTTAATGACACTTTAACAATAGAGGTTATGATATGTATTGAGTGTTGTTGTACATTTTGTATTAAGGGTCATGTTAAAGTATAATATTCATGGCATCTTGTCCTCCGCAGGCGGCATAGTACGGATGACGCTGAGTTTAACAGTCATCATGGTCGAAGCCACGGGAAACGTCACCTACGGTTTTCCCATCATGCTTGTTCTCATAACAGCCAAAATAGTTGGAGATATCTTTGTTGAGGTGAGGGTGACTAGATTTGATAATTCTTTGTGTTCTCTTTTTTTCTTGTATGTCATTTGATGTTTTGCTGACAATGACCTGCATATGAGATGTTGGTGACCCTTGTGCTGTCCTGTCTCTCAGGGTCTGTATGATCTCCATATCAAGCTGCAGAGTGTCCCATTCTTGCACTGGGAAGCTCCAGTCACTTCTCATTCTCTCACTGCTAAGTAAGTACAGAGATCCTGGTGCATAAGACAAACGGGATGATTGGAGTTTCTTTTGCAGACATTTTCCTTTAAAACAGAAATCTCTGTGATAATTGGCAATTCTAAGATGTGTTTTTTTTTTTTTTTTTTGATAAAAAAAAAACTTGGTGTGGTTGTTATGGAAGCATTAATTTTCTTTCATGAAGTAGCCTAAAGAGGAACTTCCATAATACCTGTAATATCTAAAATGGCACGCATAAAAATGTTGTTGCATGACATTTATAATAGACATACTTAAGCCAGCCATAGTTTGATCGAAATTCAGCTGAATTCTGCTGAAGCAGCTGAATTTCGCTCAAACTATGGGCAGGCTACTCTTACTGAAGTCATTCTGTTGATTGACTTCAGTACAACCAGCCTGTTGGGATTTATTCGTACAATTACTGCTGAGCACTATTGTATTCTGACAGCGAAGAAATCTCCCGCTGTCAATACAATAGTGCGGCGGGAGGGTTTCTCTGATCAACACTGTGAATTCATACATGTGCAATTTGAAGCTCCATTTTCACAGCTAATTGACAAAGTATCGGTTCAGGTCAGGTTATGTCAGGATCAGGGCAGGTTATATCAGGATCAGGAGAGAAAACTGGCCTGAAATCATGTTCACAAACTCATGACGTGCGATTCAGAAGCTGTTCCCATAGAAGTCGCATTGAAGTCAATGAGCCTGTAATTCTCACCTAAAATGGACCTCTCTACTCAGAAGCAATCTCTTTTTCAATCCGTACTATCAGTGCATTTGGACGTATGTGAACAGGCACCATAGGAAGCAATGTCATTACACGTCATGCGGATGGATGCAGTTCAAACCACATCCAATCCGCATATATGTGAACCGGCTCTAAATGTGTTGATGGGGAAATCGGGTGATTTTTTTTTTTTAATTTTTTTTTTTTCTTTCAACCGGTGGTTGAAATAGAGAAAATTACTTCATGTATGGCCCAGCTTACCCTTCCATGCAAGCCAACGTTATTGTCCATTCCAGTGAACGTTTCGAACTGCCTTGACTTCAATGCCTCTATCCTCTGTAAGGGCATCTGGTGATCCGGCTGCTTCGTTTTCTAAGCCGGCCCCATTGATGACGCACCACTAATGCCGTGCATATGCACTCAAAGCTTGAGCTATGATGTAGCCCATACTAGGGCAATTTGTAGACAATATGATTCCCTGGCTAGAGTTCTGGGTGTGCATGTGTGAGATTGCTAAAGGAGAATGTCACCAGCACACCGAGGATCACCAATATGGGTCCAAAAGTTTTAATGAACGATCACATAGTTACAGCAAGGCAACTACGCTGGTCCTGCGAGACTCCGAAACGTTGCCTTGCTGTAACTATGCGATCGTTCATTAAAACCTTTGGACCCATATTGGTGATCCTCGGTGTGCTGGTGACATTCTCCCTTGCTGATTTCTGTTTGTTTCCAGCCAATGGTCACTTCATCACCCACTTATACACACAGCCATTTTTGTAACGCAGGAACGCGTGCGTTTGGATTGTACACTTGCATGTGTGGGATTGGTGGCACGTTGGCCATGAAATTATATTTTTACGTTGGCATAGTATCGCCAATGTCACCCGATCAAGAAGAAAATATCGCAAGAACTTTGAATTGGCTGACGGCTCTGGGGATTTAAGACAGTCATATCCCAAGAGTCTGCAGGCAGCGCAACCTACGTCATTCTCACCTATGCTGGTCATTCTCACCTATGCTGGTCCTGTGAGACCCTGAAACGTTGCCTTGCTGTAACTATGTGATCACCTATGCTGGTCATTCTCACCTATGCTGGTCATTCTCACCTATGCTGGTCATTCTCACCTATGCTGGTCATTCTCACCTATGCTGGTCATTCTCACCTATGCTGGTCATTCTCACCTATGCTGGTCATTCTCACCTATGCTGGTCATTCTCACCTATGCTGGTCCTGCTGTATCGCAAGAACTTTGAATTGGCTGACGGCTCTGGGGATTTAAGACAGTCATATCCCAAGAGTCTGCAGGCAGTGCAACCTATGTCATTCTCACCTATGCTAGTCATTCTCACCTATGCTAGTCATTCTCACCTATGCTAGTCATTCTCACCTATGCTAGTCATTCTCACCTATGCTAGTCATTCTCACCTATGCTAGTCATTCTCACCTATGCTAGTCATTCTCACCTATGCTAGTCATTCTCACCTATGCTAGTCATTCTCACCTATGCTAGTCATTCTCACCTATGCTCGTCATTCTCACCTATGCTGGTCCTGCGAGACTCCAAAACGTTGCCTCGCTGTAACTGTGATCACCTATGCTGGTCATTCTCACCTATGCTGGTCATTCTCACCTATGCTGGTCCTGCGGTATTGCAAGAACTTTGAATTGGCTAACGGCTCTGGGGATTTCAGACAGTCATATCCCAAGAGTCTGCAGGCAGCGCAACCTATGTCATTCTCACCTATGCTGGTCATTCTCACCTATGCTGGTCCTGCGAGACTCCAAAACGTTGCCTTGCTATAACTATGTGATCACCTATGCTGGTCATTCTCACCTATGCTGGTCCTGCGAAACGTTGCCTTGCTGTAACTATGTGATCGTTCATTAAAACTTTTGGGCACATATTGATGGTCCTCGGTGTGCTGGTGACATTCTCCCTTTCTGATTCTGTTGGGTTCCAGCAGACGGTTGCTGCAGCACCCATTCATACACACAGCCATTTTTAACGCAGGAACGTGTGCGTTTGGATTGTACACTTGCATGTGTGGGATTGGTGGCACGTTGGCCATGAAATTATATTTTTACATTGGTATAGTATCGCCAATGTCACCCGATCAAGAAGGAATTATTGCAAGAACTTTGAATTGGCTGACGGCTCTGGGGATTTAAGACATTCATATCCCAAGAGTCTGCAGGCAGTGCAATCTACTTCATTCTCACCTAGGTGAGAAATATATAAGTTAGCGGAACAGAACAAGAAAAAAAAGTATTTTAAGTAAAAAAAGGTTAGCAAGTGGTATGCAGTTTTGTAAAGTCAAGGGTAAACAGTGATATTAGCTCAAGTGGGGCATAATAGGTGAATGGTCACCTTTTAAGATGGGCAGAAATTCCCTGAGATTGATAGGTCATCGTCTTTGGAGTGGCAGGACCTGATGTGATACATGTCCAGGGATGACAGGAGGGCATATTGGGTACTTTGGTGCAAAATTCTTCTTCAGCACAGGGATGGATCAGGTTGGCTCTGAAGGAAATTTTCCAACAAATTTAAAATCCCCTTGTAAGATAAGAAGTGTCTCTTAAGTGCTAGAAACCGCCAAGTCCTAACACAATGAAGAGCTGTACTGTTATTCTCAATAGGTTTACGGCCTTCCTAATTTATCACATTATAAGCCCTGGTTCACACTGATGCGGTCTGGAATTTGCAGCGTTTTCAGTGCGAATTCCCCACCGCATCAAAATCGCACCCCGTTCAATGCGAACCGCTGCGGGTGTGTATGTTATGTTAACAACACCCCGAAAGTGGTCCACAAAACGCAGTGCGATGTGCAGGATCGGATCGCATAGGTGTGAATACCCATGCTATCCGATTCTAGTGTGGACATAGAAAAGGGTTCTGCACCTTTTTTGGTGCAGGTGCGGTGCGATTAGAACCATACAAAATGTATGCCTCCCACCGCACACAAATCGCATGTGATTTGCACAGGAATGCGGTGTGGTTCCTGTGCGAATCACGTGACATACCGCACATATGTGAACTTAATTCAGAAGTTTAATACTGATTAACATGAGGTAAGATCAGAGGGGAAAAAAGAAGTACAGCATGCTCTGTAGTTTGAGGTTTGCCACTTGTGTAATCTTATCATAGATATAATTCACAGGAAACTGTGTCTGTTCTGGTGATTTGTGGTTTGGCTTTCAGAATATTCGACCTTCTCTAGTCTGTACGTCTGTATCTGATGTATAGCTGATTCTTTCTGAACTGAAACATTGAGGTTTAACAAGCTTGAAATCCTCCATAACGGATAATAGAATGGGGCTTTGTACATTGTGGATTTTGAAGGAATATGCTTGGCAATCTTCGCATTTTAAATTTATTTCTACTCAAAGTGAAAAATAAAAATCCGTTTTTAATGGATATTCCAAGTGCAGCTAATGATTCATAATCTTTCGTCCTCCAAGAACATGCAAGAACTGCAGATGAGCAGGGGCAATATGGGGCAGTTATAGATGAGCAGGGACAATATGGGGCGGTTATAAATGAGCAGGGAATATGGGGCGGTTATAGATGAGCTAGGACAATAAAAGGCTGTTTTTAGATAAACTAAGACAAAATAAGGGGAGTAAAGCCCATACACACAATGAAAATATTGGACAAATGATAGTGGGGTTTTTTTTTGCATGCTAGTCTCCATATTGTAAGTGGAGAGGTTGCTAAAGTTACAAAACTCTTGTACAGAACAGAATACAGAAAAAAAAATTGAAGGTGATGTAATGTATTTGTATTGTATTTTCGGACAAAAACTGTACTGATTAAACAAAAATCGTACTGGTATTGTACGAGAAAGAAATGTGTGCTTGTCCCTTTGATTAATTTCAGATGACAGCTGTGTACTAACGATCAGATTATTATACTATCGCTTTGAAAGCGGTATTTTTTGTACGATTTTCTGTTTGTGTGTACTAAGCTTTTGAGATGAGCTAGGGCAATTGGAAGGTTGCGGATGGGCTAGGACAGTGCAACGGTTGCGGATGGGCTAGGACAGTGCAACGGTTGCGGATGGGCTAGGACAGTGCAACGGTTGCGGATGGGCTAGGACAGTGCAACGGTTGCGGATGGGCTAGGACAGTGCGAAGGTTGCGGATGGGCTAGGACAGTGCGAAGGTTGCGGATGGGCTAGGACAGTGCGAAGGTTGCGGATGGGCTAGGACAGTGCGAAGGTTGCGGATGGGCTAGGACAGTGCGAAGGTTGCGGATGAGCTAGGACAGTGCAACGGTTGCGGATGGGCTAGGACAGTGCGAAGGTTGCGGATGGGCTAGGACAGTGCAACGGTTGCGGATGGGCTAGGACAGTGCAACGGTTGCGGATGGGCTAGGACAGTGCAACGGTTGCGGATGGGCTAGGACAGTGCGAAGGTTGCGGATGGGCTAGGACAGTGCGAAGGTTGCGGATGGGCTAGGACAGTGCGAAGGTTGCGGATGGGCTAGGACAGTGTGCGAAGGTTGCGGATGGGCTAGGACAGTGCGAAGGTTGCGGATGGGCTAGGACAGTGCGAAGGTTGCGGATGGGCTAGGACAGTGCGAAGGTTGCGGATGGGCTAGGACAGTGCGAAGGTTGCGGATGGGCTAGGACAGTGCGAAGGTTGCGGATGGGCTAGGACAGTGCGAAGGTTGCGGATGGGCTAGGACAGTGCGAAGGTTGCGGATGGGCTAGGACAGTGCGAAGGTTGCGGATGGGCTAGGACAGTGCGAAGGTTGCGGATGGGCTAGGACAGTGCGAAGGTTGCGGATGGGCTAGGACAGTGCGAAGGTTGCGGATGGGCTAGGACAGTGCGAAGGTTGCGGATGGGCTAGGACAGTGCGAAGGTTGCGGATGGGCTAGGACAGTGCGAAGGTTGCGGATGGGCTAGGGCGATTGGAAGGTTGCGGACGGGCTAGGACAGTGCGAAGGCCGCGGACGGGCTAGGGCAATTGGAAGGTTGCGGACGAGCTAGGACAGTGCGAAGGCCGTGGACGGGCTAGGACAGTGCGAAGGCCGCGGACGGTCTTATGTGAATGCGAAGAAGACAATGTAAAGAAGTTATAGATGCCCTGGAATGATATGACGTGTCATGGATGAGCTTAGGACATTATGAAGAGGTTAAGAGATGAGGGATTTAACAGCGCATGACCTGATAGCATTCAAGAAATACCAATGAACCAACAGTGGAGACTATTTAATGTCCAGATATGGTTAGGAGTTATATATTTTTATGTAATTAATATTCTCTATACAGGGATAATTCTGCTCACGATTTTATTATCCTCATTCTATGATACATTAAACCTGACAAGCTTGTGTGGTGCTGTGCCCAAAATAAAGAATAAAAACATATGAAGGTTTGAAGGATTGTCAGTCACCAAGCACCCACGCTGTCACATGGAAAGAAGGGGAATGAGTCGTGCTGTTCTATACATGGATGTACATTCATGCAATTAAGCTTCCCTGGTCCAATAGAAAAGCTGAGGAATACAGGAAAGAAGCTGCTAGGAGAGATGCAATAAAGTGAACTTCTTCCTTTGCCCTGCATAGACAAATCATGGTTTCACTAGGGTGTTGGTGCGCAATACTACCTATTTTGTATCAGCCTTGTTCGTTCATCTACTGTGTGCTTTTTTTTTTTTTTTTTGAGGGAGGTAATGAGCACACCAGTCACCTGTCTACGACGGAAAGAGAAAGTGCGTCTCATCGTAGACATCCTGAGCGACACTTCATCAAACCACAACGGATTCCCGGTTGTAGAAAATAGTTCTGGACAGGTGAGGACAGACCACTGTGTAGTGATCATAGTGCGAAGTTAATATCAGGAATAAAAGGTTGATTCTTCAGGGCGCACAGGAGCTCTAAAGTGTGGCTTACCATTTGTGTACTGCGTGTTTAATAAATATAGGAGCTCCCTGGGCACACAGTGGAGAAATCTTCCAGCAGTATGTATTGTCACCTTGTGGTCCCTGCAGTTTTGTCCTGTTAAATTGTAATGTATTAAAGCTGAAGTTCTTTGTAAAAAGTGAAGGCACACTACGAGTGAAGTCTAGTGAGGTGCATGGCATCTCTTGGACGTCTGTCTATTATTTTTATCTGACAGGTTTATAGTACTCCTTGGAAGATGGTTATCACTTTATTCCTGGGAGCCTGATCCTTCTGATCTCTGCATCTTCAGTAGTAGAGTCGCTGCAGCTGCAATGCCCGCCCCTTCTTTCCTCCTGCCTAATCACTGAAGCCTTTGTATTATATGAACTCAATCACAAAATACAAAGACTTCTGTGAATGGGCATCAGAGGGGAGGGGTGGGCATAGCTGTTTTTTGTGCTTCTCTCTCCTCAGATCCCAGAGTGTCTCTCCGGTATAAACCTTTCAGATGTAAATACTAGAGTGAAGTCCAGGAGATGTCATGGACCTCGTTGCACTTAAAGTGGAAACTTAGTCAGAAAATTAAGCCCTGCTAGATCACTTTATGCTGGCCCCTTTTGAAGGTACAGCTATGTAAAACACTTAAAATAAGTGCTTATACAGTTTAAAATCCAGTAATACACTGTCCTCACCCTGATCTGCACATGCTCATTTAATCTGTTTTTTGGCAATGTGCAGAAAATCAGAGCTGCTAGAGCTCAGTCTGCTGATAGGCCAAAGATTTACTGCTGCTCAGGGGCTCCTGGCTTCAGTGAAACGGCAGCTTCCAGCAAGAAGAAAGAGGAACAATGCTGGAAGCAATTAGCAGCACAAACTAATTCTGGTAGTATAATTATTAATGTGGAATGTATGTTCCTTGCTAAAGAAAATTTATTTTTTATCAAGTTGTTATTGGTAAAGTTCAGCTTTTATTCATCCCAGGCAGTTATTACCTTTTGTATCAATTGACCCTCCCTTTTAGATTGTAAGCTCTAATGAGCAGGGCCCTCTGTTTCCTACTGTATTAAATTGTATTGTAAGTACTGTCTGTCCTCACATAGTAAAGCGCTGCTCAAGCTGTTGGCACTATATAAATCCTGTATTATAATAATAATAATAATAATAGTGTGCCTTCACTTCCTACAAAGAGGCTGAATTCCTGGAATTCAGCTTTAAACTTTGCTGATGTGTTCACTTGTCCAAAGGCTCCAGTAGCTAGTAGTTTTTCCTTGCCTAGGTGTATACATGGAAATAAAATAGATGGAATAGATAGGGTAAAATAATAGATAGATAAAAAAAAATATATAATAAATAAGAGAGCTATAGATATAAAATATATAAAATATATAGATAGAGAGAGAGAGATATATATATATATATATATATTATATATATATATATATATATATATAGAGAGAGGGAGATAGATATATATATATATATATATATATATATATATATATATATATATATATATATATATATATATCTCCCTCTCTCTATCTATATATATATATATATCTATCTATATATATATAGATAGAGAGATATATATATATATAGATATATATATCTATATATATATATATATCTCTATCTTTATTCTCTTTCTCTATCTTTTTCTCTCTCTCTCTCTTTCTCTTTCTTCTCTATATATATCTCTCTATCTCCCTCTATCTATCTCTTTTATCTATCTATCTATCTCCCTCTATATATATATTCTTATCTCATATATATATATATATTTCAATATATAATTTTTTATATTTATATATATATATTTTTTTCTTTTTTTTTTTTTTATATATTTTTTCTTTATATATATCCTCTATAATATCTATCTATTATTTTATATATATTCTCTCTCTTTTATTCTCTCAAAATACAATATAGAAGGGATTTGTATATACAAATAATCCCTATAACTAATCACTCTATACAGTGTACGGTCCCCAAAACCTGGGCCAATCGTAGTAACCCCAGACAAATCCTGTCTCAGTGTTATTCTATTCTAAGTGAAGCTGCCCCTAATTAAGTGTGATTAACACTTACAACATGCAAATAAAATATAAATAGGCGCTACATTTGCTCAAACAATAAACTGTAAAAAATCAAAAAATATATAAAAATATATAAAAAAGAAAGGGTGGTTCCCTATATAACCAAAGACGCATTTGACCACCATAACTGGGGTCAAAGGATCTGGTAAGTGCGTAATCTACACTTCACGGTTATGAACACGCAGTGAAGATCACAGTCACATTTATTTTTATATATATTTTGTTTGTTTTTTTTTTTTTCACATTTTTTTTATTTTTTTACACTCTTTGGAATTTTCTATTCTGTTTTGGGACAGTTACAAGAGTTGTCATTATATTATACTTCACTATTGGTTGAATTGCTATATGGTGGGGTTACAATATCTTTTTGGTCTAAGCACAGTTAGCCGCCCACGGCTACATCACCCTGAATGCACCCGATCTTGTCTGATCTTGGAAGCTAAGCAGGGTCGGATCTGAATGGGGGACCGCCTGGGAATACCAGGTGTTGTAGTCCTAAATTTTTTTTTTTGCATGGACCAAAATTGAGATAATCCTCAGGTGGTACTAATTTTGTACTTATTTTACTATATGAAGTTTATTGTTTGGGCAAATGTAGCACCTATCTATTTATATCTAATATTATATCTATTTATATTTTAGGTGTATACTTAGACCTGAATGGTCAGCACATATCCTGGAACAGAAAGTGCTGTCTGTTTACCTTTTTTTTTTTTTTTTTTAATGTATACTTTGATGTAATGTTTTTAATGGATGTTGCGGCAGGTACAACTGAATGTGGTGACCACTGTTTTTTTTTTTTTTTTTTTTTTTAAGGGGCTTGTAACAGAAATGTGGGAACTTGATTGCTAAAGATCACTGCTATTAAAACCACTTAAAAGGGATTATAATAGCAATGATCTCCAAGAAGGATTATAATAGCAATGATCTCCAACAACCTATCTTAAAGGATAAGTTCACCTTTTGACCAAAAATGATAAATGCACTTTTTTTTTTTTTGGCAGGTAAAAAATGTGCATTTATTATTTTTTGTTGCAGGAGCCTGTAAAGCATTACACCAGCAAGCAGAAGATCGCTGGTGCCATGCAGGTCTCCTGCAGACCTGTCACTATATCTGCTTGCTCGTATGGGTGAGCAGATATACTGACCGGAAGAATCAATGAACTACCATGGTGATCCACAGCGCTGCAGTAGTTCATTGAGAACTGCAAGCTGACAGCCGGTAAGGCTGTCAGGACTAGTAGATCATCATTTACAGAACACTGTGGATGAATGACATGGCTGCATGGGCGGAGCCTTGCAAGGCTGCGATTTTTCTTTTTTTTTTTTTTTTAAGTAGCCAATTGTACTGGGAACTTCTCAAAGTATTTCTGTCAGAGGGAGGAGGGGCAGCAGCTGCAGCATGGGGAACATGTTACATGTTCAACCCTAAAAAAGCAGGGGTGGACTGACCATTAGGAAACTCGGGCACTGCCCGAGGGCCCGGGATCAGTAGGGGGTCCCATGAGATGCCCCTGGTACCTTTTTCATAGGCTTTTTTGAGTTTGGGAAAGGACACAGGGGCCCCATGATCCCCTATTGCCCGGGGGCCCCATGAGTTGTCAGTCCGCCCCTGTCCCAAAGGTGAACTTAATGCGATACTTAACGTAGTATTAAACCCAACAACAAAAATGTACTATGTTGCATCATGTGGTGGCTGCATTCTTTTTCTCCTTTATTTTCACATGATGATGTGGTCAGTAATTTATTTTTGTTTGTTTTTTGGGGGGGGGGGGGGGGTTTCCCCAACATCCTGTAAAAGACCAAGCTGTCCAGCTAAAGTGGTAATTAGAGGGTTGGGACATAGTAAAGTTTAAAAAAAAAAAAAAAAAAAAAATTTAAAAAGTCCATCTAGTGCAGCCAAGAAAAAAATAAAAAAACAAATCGAAAACTTCCATATACACTATCGTATGCCAACAGTTGATTCAAATGAAGACAAAAAAAAAAAACCAAAACAATAATGCATGGCCCAGTTTGCTCCAGCGGCAGAAAAAATATTCAAACCATTAACACTGGCAGGCGTGCTTACAATGGTCAGCTTTTGTTCATTGAGGTCAAACCTTTTTCCCAAAAAGGAGAAAAAAAACAGTGGCTTTAATTGCTTATAAATTGATAGCTGAAGTTTGGTTTAAAAATTGTTAGTCAAGTCCATCTGTATATGCCAGTCTAAGCTGGCAACACATTATACATTTTTTTTTTTTTGTACAATTTCCTTTAGATTTACCAGAACCGTATAATATGAGGTCAAACTTAAACATTTTCAAATGTTATGCAATCAGGGAGGCCCTTGTACTACATAATTGAAGGTAAATCTAAAATCTGAACAAGAAAATTGTATAATGTGTAGCCAGCACTGCCCTCCTCCTGACTGACAGTGCTGCTGTCCAAGGGTGTCTCTGTTGCTCCTCCATCTGTTGTGCAGGGTGAAACAAAGCCTAAAGAAAAAAAACGAATGCAGCCATCACATCCAAATATTGTTATATATATTTTTTTTATTTGCTTTTCGGTTTAAATCCGCTTTAAATCTTCAGCTTTGTCGACTCTGGGCTCTCAGACCATCCCCGTCATCATGTTTTCAATGTCTGCTTTCCCAAATCCACAGTCTGACCGTATCCTGTAGCCAGGGGCAGACTGACCATTTGGAAACTTGGTCACTGCCCGAGGGCCCGGGGTCAGTAGGGGGCCCCATGAGATCCCCTATTGCCTGGGAGCCCCATGAGTTCTCAGTCCGCCCCTGCCTGTAGCATCATTTTATACTGCATATTATGTGTGGCCCTTTAATGGTGTCAGGTGGTTTTCCTTTGCTTTACAGTCTCTCTCTGTTTTTTTTTTTTTTTTTTCTTTTACAGCCACCACGATTGTGTGGACTGATCCTGAGATCCCAGCTGATCGTTCTTCTCAAACATAAGGTACTGCATGAGCCCTTTGTTTCTGGAATGTCATACAGTATTGCCTACAGATGACACTAGTAGTGTGGATACTTGATGTGATTGACATCCTCTTCTCTGTAGGTGTTTGTAGAGAGGGAGAACATGAGCCTAAATCTAAGGCGGTTAAAGCTGAAAGATTTCCGAGATGCTTACCCCCGCTTCCCACCAATCCAGTCCATACATGTGTCACAGGACGAGCAGGACTGTCTGATGGATCTCTCTGAGTTCATGAATCCCACACCATACACGGTGCCCCAGGTGGGTCCATTCTATCTGATATTTTAACTGTGTACACATTTATTCTCATCTGAACCCTAAGGTGGGGTGATGACCAGGGGCGTATTTACCACAAGGCACTTGCCTAGGGAGGCATTTTTTTCAGGGGGGCAGCACCTCCCACCAGAAGAAGGGATGAAAGAAGGGATACGTGCTACATGGGAACCAGGTGGGATCCGAGAGAGAGGCTGCGGGCTGCTTGATGATGTATTTAGAGCCTGGTTCTCATTCCTGGGGATGTCCGGAGGTGAAGATGAGTGTCTTTCTCTCTATCGCCGTGGGGTGGGGGTAGTGGAAGGCTCTCCCAGGTGGGGGGGCAGGGGTGTTGTTGGTCAATGCAATGTCAGGCTCTCTCCATGAGAGGGGGAGGGGGGGGGGTTGTTGGTCGTTGTCTGTGGGGGCAGACAATTTTTGTGTTGCCTAGGGCAGCACAAAACCTGAATACACCAATGGTGATGACCAGACTTTCTTGTGTGGGTCAGCTATGGGCCTGGGCCTCGTGTGTGGGCTGGCCATGGGCCACTTGTACAGGTTCTAACTAAGGCACCCTATAGATCTGAGATGACTGTAGGGCTATAGGCACAAGGCATACATATGCACACTAGACCAAAACTGTGCACATGTATGCGTCAGTCATTCCATGAAGGACATGGACTTGTCCATGGCTGGTTTTAGCAAGCTCAGAGCTCTGTGGTAACCAATTTTTATTAAACCCATTAGTAGAATGGCCAGGCTTATAGACTTGCATGGCTAGTAATTCAGCCATAGACTTAAAGGGTCGGTCTACCCAAAATAGATAAATGAATCTTCCGCCACTGTCCTTTATGTCCTGTAGACTCCAGCAATGATTGGTTGGTGTTTCTGGCACAGCACCAACTGCTATATTATCTCTCTCCTGCTAAATATATATATTCATTATAATGGTAAAGAGGAAGTCTTAGCATTAATGGTTTCCCATTCTTAATCCACTGCGAGGGCGTAACCGTTACGACTTTTTTTTTTTTTTTTTTTCTTCTGAAAACTTAATTAAAAAAAATCCTTTGAAAGGGAGAGAGGAAATGTCAGCAATAAAAGATTACTTGCTGGTCATGTAAAGAAAAAAAAAAAATATCTGTGCTTCAGAAGCTACAGTATATGACCAACCATCTGCAGGTACAATTAATTATTTTTTTTTATTTCAGGTACTTATATAGCGGCGTCAATTTACGCCGCGCTTTACATATATATTGTACATTCACATCAGTCCCTAACCCTCAAGGGGTGTACAATCTAAGGTCCCTAACCCTCAAGGGGTGTACAATCTAAGGTCCCTAACCCTCAAGGGGTGTACAATCTAAGGTCCCTAACCCTCAAGGGGCGTACAATCTAAGGTCCCTAACCCTCAAGGGGCGTATAATCTAAGGTCCCTAACCCTCAAGGGGCGTACAATCTAAGGTCCCTAACCCTCAAGGGGCGTACAATCTAAGGTCCCTAACCCTCAAGGGGCGTACAATCTAAGGTCCCTAACCCTCAAGGGGTGTACAATCTAAGGTCCCTAACCCTCAAGGGGCGTACAATCTAAGGTCCCTAACCCTCAAGGGGTGTACAATCTAAGGTCCCTAACCCTCAAGGGGCGTACAATCTAAGGTCCCTAACCCCCAAGGGGTGTACAATCTAAGGTCCCTAACCCTAACCCCCAAGGGGGTACAATCTGAGGTCCCTAACCCTCAAGGGGTGTACAATCTAAGGTCCCTAACCCTCAAGGGGTGTACAATCTAAGGTCCCTAACCCTCAAGGGGTGTACAATCTAAGGTCCCTAACTCACATTCATACATACACATACTAGGGACAATTTGGACAGGATCCAATTAACCTACCAACCCAGTGGGTTGCTGTACTAAATAAATGATCTTAGTTCCGCGATCTCTACCGCTGTGCCTTTGTGTTATAATAGGGGGACTACCCCCCCCCCTTCCCCCCCCTCACCTCCAAAACACAGTAATCCGTGCCATTGGCTGCGAGTGCTGATCAGATGCTGGTTTTTTTATATGTTCCTTCAACAAAAGCCAGTTTTTAGACCAGCTTCTTTCGGAAGGGCGGCTGTACACATGGTCAGTTATTTGGACCGTATGTACCCAGCTAAACTATATTCTGTCTCCTTGTGAGCAGCAATGGTCAAACGGTGGTGGAGGGAGGGGTGACATGACATGCTGTCAAACATTCTAGCTCGGCATACGCGCCACCTACTGGGGTTGGACAAAAAAATGGAAACGCTGCATGATTTGCAGGTGTGAAAGTGACTACCTGTTTTGCGTTGGAGACAGAAGTGATGTAACACTCTTTTGCTTCCGCTGTGTGATGAGACACCTAGCTAACAGGTGAGAAGCCTCATTCACTGTGTGCACGTCTAGTAATACAGAGTCATGTCAGAGCTTACTGAGCTCCAAAGAGGGCAAATTGTTGGTGCCTCTTAGCTGGTATCTCTGTGATTGAAGTTGTCAATTTATTTGCGGTGTGGCGAGGTACAGTATCAAAGGTTATGATGGCATATACAGTTCCCAGGAAAGCATCGTCTGATAAACGTAAGTGCAGGCGACATGGTCAGCTGACTGAAAGAAAAAAAAGGCCATTTTGCAGGATTGTGACCCGGAATAAGAAAACTGCTGCAAAAGTGACTGTAGAGCTCAATCTCAGTCTTCAGAGGACTGAGATTGAGCTCTGCAGTCACTTTTGCAGCAGTTTTCTTGTTTTCACAATCCTGCACAATGGCCTTTTGTCTCTTTCAGTCAGCTGACCATGTCGCCTGCACTTACGTTTATCAGACAATGTTTTCCTGGAAACTGTATATACCGTCCTAACCTTTGATAATGTACCTCGCCGCATGGCAAATAAATTGGCAACTTCAATCACAGAGGCACCAGCTAAGTGGCACCAACAATTTGCCCTCTTTGGAGCTCAGTAAGCTCTGACATGACTCTGTATTACTAGACGTGCACACAGTGAATGACAAAAGTGAGGCTTCTCACCTGTTAGCTAGGTGTCTCATCACACAGCGGAAGCAAAAGAGTGTTACATCACTTCCGCCTCCAACGTGAAACATGTCGTCACTTCCACACCTGCAAATCATGTAGCATTTCCATTTTTAGCTCCGGTGGGGGACCTGAGAAGGAGGAGGATCCAGGCTGCTCTGTGCAAAACTATTCCACAGAGCAGGTAAGTATAATATGTATGTTTGTTTTTTTTTTAAACAAAAATGTAATCCTTTAGTATTACTTTAAAAGAAAACTATTACAACCACCACATATATGTATTGGTAAGCTGCAGTATAATAAATATCTAATTTCGGGGTTAACTAGGTGTCTCATCACACAGCGGAAGCAAAAGAATGTTACATCACTTCCACCTCCAACGTGAAACATGTCGTCACTTCCACACCTGCAAATCATTCAGCGTTTCCATTTTTGTCCAACCCCTGTAGGCAGTGGTGTATTTAGGGTTTGTGCTGCCCTAGGCAACAGAAAAATGGGAAGCCCCCCCCCCCCCTCATACGGAGAGAGCCTGACACCAACCAACCAACACCCCACCCCAAACCCAAGAGAGCCTTCCACTACCACCACTCTCCATACACCAAACCTCCCCCCCCAACCCCAACCACACCGTTCAACGAGAGAGAGAAAGTCACACCTTGACAGCTCCAGACATCCCCTGGAATGAGAGTCAGGCTCTTCATCCACCATCAAGGAGCCCGCAGCCTCTCTTGGATCCCACCCGGTTCCCATGCCGCGTGTGTCCCTTCTTCTGTCTCTCCTTCCAGGGGGCAGTGCTGCCCCCCTGAAAAATGCCGCCCTAGGCAAATGCCTTGTTTGCCTTGTGGTAAATACACCCCTGCCTGTAGGGGTTTCCTGGAAACTGTATATGATGATGTTTGTAATGCCGCAGTCTTCACGGGACTGCGATTGGGCGTCTTTATGATTGCAGCAGCTAGACAGAAATGGAAATTCAGGTACTGAGATTTTGTTGATGGTGACTTTAACCAAATAAGATTATACAACTGCCCAGTATCCACACAAGCCTGAAATATCGGAGTGCCATGGAGCTGTCCTTTTACAAAATCTAGTAAAATATTATTATTATACAGTATTAAAATATATATATATATATATATATATATATATATATATATATATATATATATTTATATATATATATTTTAAAAATAGAGGTATTACTTGTGCCACCTACAACACCCAATGACATATCGATGCCAATCAATGTACATATTGTAATCACTGTGTGTATGTAATTCACAGGAAGCATCATTACCGCGAGTGTTCAAGCTGTTCCGTGCGCTCGGACTGCGGCATCTGGTTGTGGTAGACAGTCATAATAGAGTAAGCATCCCATTTATATTCGAATACATTTTCTAGAAATATTGCAGGTGAGGTTTCTGAAAATGAGAAGAGCGGATGACATCAATAAGAAATATTCCAGCTGCGATTCTTTTTCAAACTGTGCTAGAAGAATGACAGCTGGCATCTGATTGGTTAGTATGGGCAGCGTAGGCATCACCTCTTCCTCCAGATGCGATTAGGGCACAAAGTCTCTGTTATGATCCAGCAGATCAAAAATGACAGCTGTTGTAGTGTTTATACAATAGCTAGCAAGGTAAAGGCACCCGTGGCTAGGACAAAGTACACATAGAAGACAAACAATAATGCAACTCTGTAATCCATTATACATCCCGCACCAGCCAAGATGGCCGCAGCCTGTCATCTAAAAAGTGCCGTCGAGCGATGTTGGGACCATTGAAGGGGAGGTAAGTGTAATGGAGTTCAGTTAGTTTTGTTTTGATCCAATGCTGAAGAATTTTTGTGATTTCATTATCCAAGCATAGAACATCGGTGCTAGCAAAAATATTATAGTCACACATAGCTTCTTTGTACATGCTAGCATTATATTGGGAGGACCCGAGTGCGTTCCTGTATGGAACAGGGCGGTCTCTGTCTATGTAATGTGTGCATTTTATCACCCTTTGGTTAAAAGAACGCCAACCACAGAAACTGCCAGAATACCGAGTGTCTGTACTATTCACAAGCTATGATTCTTGGCCCAAGAGCTGACATCACAGCCAACCCTGGACTTGAGAAGGGCAAGCACTAGGTGTGCTGCAACACAAATCCTAATGTGGGTGTGATAGCCCAAATCAGTCTTTTTTGGATTGAGTGTTTGGTAACTGACTTGCTGGAGCTAAATGTTTTGTATTGTATGCAGGTGGCAACTTGCCAGCCACAGGTTTGCTAAAGAGGGCACTTTATCGGTCCTGCAGTGGCAGTTCTGTGACACCTCATTGGGTTTACCAGGCAAGGTATTGCTGCTATAGGAGTAGGCAAGTCCCCTCTTCTCTCATAGCAATCCTGTTGTTGGCAGGTTGCCACCAGTGACAGGATCACTAACATGACATGAGCCTAAGCTATTAAGTTCAAGCAATATTCTTTGTGTCTTTTTTGTTATTACTGACTATGAATGGTTCATTTCACTACTTGCTTAAAGTGGTTGTAAAGATAAAAGGTTTTTTACCTGCATTAGGGTAAAAAAAAAATTTTCAGTGTCAGCCCGCCATAACTGATTACCTGAGCTGGAGCTGATCCAGCGCTTTGCCCATCTGCAGCAGCACTGCTCTGCTCTCCCCTCTCACAGGTTGTTCAGCAGCAGCGGGAGCCATTGGCAATTTGTTGTTGTCAATCAACTCCTGTGATCAGTGGGTGCTGTCAATCATCTCCTGTGATCAGTGGGTGCTGTCAATCAACCACTGTGATCAGTGGGTGCTGAGTCAATCAACCACTGTGATCAGTGGGTGCTGTCAATCAACTCCTGTGATCAGTGGGTGCTGTCAATCAACTCCTGTGATCAGTGGGTGCTTTCAATCAACTCCTGTGATCAGTGGGTGCTGTCAATCAACTCCTGTGATCAGTGGGTGCTGTCAATCAATCTGTGATCAGTATGTGCTGTCAATCAATTTCTGTGATCAGTGGGTGCTGTCAATCAACCCCTGTGATCAGTGGATGCTGTCAATCAACTCCTGTGATCAGTGGGTGCTGTCAATCAACCCCTGTGATCAGTGGATGCTGTCAATCAACCCCTGTGATCAGTGGGTGCTGTCAATCAACCCCTGTGATCAGTGGGTGCTGTCAATCAACCCCTGTGATCAGTGGGTGCTGTCAATCAACCCCTGTGATCAGTGGGTGCTGTCAATCAACCCCTGTGATCAGTGGGTGCTGTCAATCAACCCCTGTGATCAGTGGGTGCTGTCAATCAACCCCTGTGATCAGTGGGTGCTGTCAATCAACCCCTGTGATCAGTGGGTGCTGTCAGTCAACCCCTGTGATCAGTGGGTGCTGTCAGTCAACCCCTGTGATCAGTGGGTGCTGTCAGTCAACCCCTGTGATCAGTGGGTGCTGTCAGTCAACCCCTGTGATAGTGGGTGCTGTCAGTCAACCCCTGTGATCAGTGGGTGCTGTCAGTCAACCCCTGTGATCAGTGGGTGCTGTCAATCAACCCCTGTGATCAGTGGGTGCTGTCAATCAACCCCTGTGATCAGTGGGTGCTGTCAATCAACCCCTGTGATCAGTGGGTGGGGCTGAGCCGCACTGTGTGCATCTATGGACACACACAGCATGGATTGGGATCAAGCCTGCATGACTGCCCCCATAGCAAGCAGCTGCTATGGGGGCACTCAAAAGGAGCCAGGAGCACCAGCTGGGAACCCCAGTAGAGGAGGATCTGTGCAAAACCATCACACAGTGTAGGTATGACATGTTCTGTTATTTTAGAAAAAGAAAAAAGCAAAAAATAAAACCTTTATAATCACTTTAAGGAAATTCTTCACTACTCCAGAAGAACTGCTGTCTTATTCTCTCCTTTCTCTAACCCGCAGGTTGTTGGTTTGGTCACTAGGAAAGATCTCGCTCGCTACCGGATTGGCAAAAACGGCCTTGAAGAGCTAAGCCTAGCACAGACGTGATGATGTCTTTCCCTAGTTCTAGCCAAATCTACTTTCACCTTCTTTCCTTGGAACAGACGTTACCGGTTCTGTGAACTTGTAGCACTGGCAGACTTGAAGCTTACCGAAGAACTTTCAAACTCATGTGTGGCCAGGGCATATGTGGCAAGGCCTTTATTGTCAGACCCCCTTCTTGGTTTACACTTCTGACATCAAAGGACTTAACTGTAAATAAATTTGGCACAGGGACTACTGCCTGGCTTTGAGGGTTCATATCTGGTGAAGGAACACTTCCTGCTGCTGGTAGAATATTCAAATCTAGTGCAGGAATGCCGTCTGCTTGTGTTAGAGTATTCATACGTGGTGCAGGATCGCTGTCTGCTTGTGCAGGAATCGTCTGATCTAGAACGCTGTCCTACAGTGTTCAAATATTCATGTCCTGGTGCTGGATTGCGTAAACCCATTTTTACAGATAGAATCTTGCAGACTAGTTTTTAAAGGGCACCCGCTCCTTGAGTGTTTGAGGCAGCCACTTTGTGACCTGGACCACTATGCTATAGAAGGGTGTCCAGAGACCTCAGAGGGTGGTCAGGCATGGTCCAGCTGCCTTCTTGCACTGGTCTCCTGGCTGTGCTGCTGGACCACTAATCTTCAGATGGGAAAATCAATTGTTGGAACAGGTCCCTCAGACCTGTGTGATTAGTCTTACTCTTGAGAGAGGTCAGCCGGCAGTCCTGCTCATGACCATGAGATTGTCACCTGATCAGGCCGAAAAGGGTGAATAACTTCCCGTCTATGGGAAGATTTAAGGGCTCCCAGGAAACAGGACACTCAGGCAAGTTGGTTATAAATGCACAAGATGGCTGCTTCTCCGAACTCAGCAGGTACTATTTATTTACAGGCTGTTACCATACAGGTCATGTTTTGCAATGGTTTTAAAAAGGCACTGTCCCCTTATTTAGGGTAAAGTATCATTGTCTCCCACCACCACCACTACCACCACCTTATACTCTTCTATCCGGTGACAACCCCATAGCTCTTTCTTCTGTGGTCACCACTGCAAAATACTTGCAGCAGGTACAGGGTAGTATGTGACCTCCTTCCATTATTTGGATATAGAAGATGGTCAGGGCTGGGCTTTCAATAAACACTATCACTTTGCTGTGCACAGGTAAGGTGAAAATGCCTTTTTACATCTCACCAATATATCGAAGTTCTTTACTTGAATCCTTACACTGAAATAGAGTCTGACAACAGATCTTGCACAATAGTCAAATCCCCAATAGTCAGGGGCAACAACTTCCCACTTCTTTTTTTTTTTTTCAGAAACCAACCCCACCGCATTCAAATTTAGGCTTTGATCTTTCCATTTTTTATGTGTTATGCTTGTAAACATGAGTTTAATATTTGCACTGAAACGGTGCTTCAAGAACACTTTATTAAACGTAACATTTTTAAAAGTTTGATTTGTATGCAAATGAACATGTTCCTGCGAGCGACAGTGATGGTATTTGTTGGTGATGAAAATATGGGTGTCAGAATGGTACATAATGTCTTCATAAATGGGTACATCTGATATTTTGATTGGGCTAAAGCAGTGTTTATCAACCTTTTATTAGTCAATTATGGACAATGTCAGGGCACCCTTTAAAATTATGGACAGTCCCGAGGCACCCTTTAAAATTATGGACAGTCCCGAGGCACCCTTTAAAATTATGGACAGTCCCGAGGCACCCTCTAAAATTAGGACAGTCCCCGAGGCACCCTCTAAAATTATGGACAGTCCCAGGCACCCTTTACAATTATGGACAGTCCCGAGGCACCCTTTAAAATTATGGACAGTCCCGAGGCACCCTCTAAAATTATGGACACCCTTTAAAATTATGGACAGTCCCGAGGCACCCTTTAAAATTATGGACAGTCCCGAGGCACCCTTTAAAATTATGGACAGTCCCGAGGCACCCTCTAAAATTCTAAAATTATGGACAGTCTTGAGGCACCCCATTCTAAAATGTAAAAAACTATTCTAATAGTTGTATATAATGCAGCGACATCCACACATGTAGGACACCCAACATTAGGGTTGATTTTTTCTTCCAAAGCAAATACACTTTTGCACACTGGTACTGACTAGTATTCCATTGTTTCTCCTCTCCCTCAGTTTTTCTCCATTACTGACCTAATGTGACCCCAGCACTGATGGAGAGGGGCGGGGTAGGGTCAAACTAGGATGGTGTGCAGGCAGCTGACATCCTCCTTATCAACTGATGATGTCATTGGTTGTCAGGACGCTGGCGGCTAGAAGGTGGTAATGGTGCACAATGAAAACCTGTGGCTTTGTGTAACTAAAAGGCGGGCTTGTCCCACCTGCTGGCTTTTGTACAAGTTTTGTGCAATTTGTAGACAGTTTGTCAAGGCGCCCCTGAAGAAACCTCAAGGCACCCCAGGGTACCTGGGCACCCTGGTTGACATGGTCTGGATTGTCCTTTAGCCCAGCCTTTCTCCTGGCTGTATAAGCAGTATAAGTGATTGTGGCTATGCCCCGGGCTTCACAAAGGTGCCTTGGAGTACATTAGTCCTTTGTATTTAACATCATGCTTTTGCTGTGGAGGAGTACAAGCTTGCAAATGTGAACTTGACTAAAGCGGTGCATATTTCCTCAATTTTCTTTTCTTCCACTATGGGTGGAAGGAAAGGAAATCGCTCAGTTGCCCCATCAGCACAGCCAATGTTGATGGGGCAATGCCTCCCACAGCACTATTGTGTTTTGGGGGGAAGGTGGCATCTTCCCAGCAGGTAGAAAGCAATGGTTACTGCTAGCAGCTGGCTATAATCGAATGTCAAAAAATCTGATTGGCAGTTTGTGCCCAAGTCCATTGATGGATTAACCTGGGTACAACCAGTCTGTCCATACATGAATCGATTCTCAGCCGGTTCCCTGCTGATCCGGACAAATTTTGATCAATGTATGTCCGGCCTAAGGCAGAACTATAGGCAAGACTATTTTTTTTTTTTTTGGTGCTACAAGGGAGGGTTATAACCCTTGACAGATTTTTTTTTTTCACCATCTGTGTCCCATAGCCAAAACAGGAAGTGAGAGGAAATCCCTGCAAATTAAGAGAATTCCTTGGGGACCCCCTGGTCACCAGAACTAGTAACCCCATTGGAATATTTCCCCGTTTATTCCTTTTCTGGGGACAACCCAAAAATACTTTCAGTGATGATGGTAAACAGGACAGTTAGAGATGCTGAATCTCCATAACACTGGCAAAGACGGCAGTAGAAACTGACAAGCGTTCTAACCCCTCTCTATCGAAAACACACAAAAAATTGTGTTCCCTTTAGTTATACTTTAACAGTCTAAGCCAATCCGGATTGCATGAAGGTTAGTAACGTTGTCTGTAGACGTCTTCACACACGAGTAGTTGTCATAGAAGGCCTTGCTGATATCCTTGTACGTATTACTAGGTCCCTCAGGGAAAGAGATAAAAAGAGGCTGCAGATATTAAACTAACATGTTTCAGGCACAGTCGCTGACATATGTACAAAAGCCATCCAAGTCAATCTATAACTAATCATTTTCATCCATTGCGAGACACAGGAATTTAGAAACATTCGGGTTGTGCTGTCACCTACAGGAGGCTTGCAAAGAAAAATTGTATATAACCAGGATATTGGGTTGTCCCTTTGTTTTATGCTTGTTGGCATGCTACCCCGTTTCAGGTCAAAAGGGTTTCACCTCATCAGGTTCAGATTTTGCATTGGTCCTTAAAGTGGAGTTTTTTTTCAAAAGGGGAATTGTTCCACTTTGTGGCTTTATCCATTAAGGATTGGCACTACCCCCTTTTGGGGGGCGGGGGGAGGAGCGGGTACCTGAATTTGACAGGTACCCGCTGCCACTTCTGGTCTTATCACCTAGGCTTAAAGCGGAGGTGTCCTCCCTCGCCCAAAAGGAAGTTCCACTGTACAGGACTAGAAAGACTACCACTCAAGGATTGGCACTACTTTGCGCGGGGGGGAGGAGCGGGTACCCGCGGTCTGTGAATTTTGACAAGCTACCACAGCTGGGGCCCACACAGAAGATGCCGGCCTCCTAGGCTTACAGACGGCGGGTGTCCCCGAGCTGCGGGGACACACAAAAACGGGTACCGTAGTCAGTAAGTGGGCACGTGACAGGTCCTAGAAAGACTACACAGCAGCCACGCATGAAGTTGCAGCACTACGTTGCCATGCTCAGTGGTACCCCGCTGACCGCAAGCTATCACAGCTGGGTGCCCACACTGAAGATGCCGGCCTCCTGGAATACAGGACGGCTGATGAAGTCAGCTGTTGCGGGGACTACACAACCTGGGGACCGAGGGACACGTGCAGTGGCCCACCCCTTTTTTGTCAGCACCTGTCCGCTTTAAGTAAAAACTGAGAGCATGTCGGTTGAGGACCGTGCCTAGGGACGGAGGCTTCTTTTTCTGTCAGCAACTGTGCCCCAACCCCTCAGGTGACTACATTCGGCTGTCCAGACTGTTTCTGAATTCCTATGCTGGACAAAAAGGATGCAAGTAAAAGAGTTTTGTACTTGCAGGTTTCCGACCCCTCTTGGTTTGCTCTGGCACCTGGTAATGGATTTCCAAAAAAACTGAGCAAACACCCTTCTGGTTATACGGAGTCAGTGCATTTGCCTTTCTGTGTGCCGGTGTCCTAACCTGCCTGCCCCTGTGTCATAACCCTACTGTTGTCATTAACAAGCAGCCGCATGCTTCTCCAATTGAACTGCAAAGTAAGGCAGACCGGTGGTGTGTTACGATGCTAAAAAATATTTGGCACCTTGGCTCTAGGCAAAGGAGTGTTCTGCATCAAACTGAGTCCCTCCGTCTGCAGGTAGGGTAGTTGCCTCAGAAGGAGCGGTGGTTTCTGGAACAGGCCAGATAGTTTTTAATACTCACCGTTGGTTTTAAAACCCTCCACCGTAGGTTTTTAACCAGTCATGCAAACCAAAGAACACAAAGCAGCAACCGGTCAAAGTG